CTACGGCAGCTTCAAAAGCATAAGCTTCAAAAGCTACCTTAAGCTATATACCAGTGCTTCCAACTTAAGGAATTGGGGTCGAATCATCAATGACTCCTGCGGGTCGCCTCTGGTCACCCCCCCCTCTCCACCCCAAACCCTTCAGGCAGGACTCCTTTCTCAGAGGCTGCAATGAAGTGGCGGGCGGACCGGAAAAGCCAGAAATTTCACCAACAAATTCATGGCTCCTAGATGGCCTCCAACCCACAAGCAATGGCCAAAGAACCCATTCCTGTAGCGATGGATTCCAACCTACTAGCGATGGCCTTCAACCTACAAGTCCACAAGGTGAGCTCCAAAAATCGTCGATCCCCGTGTTGAACCTTCGCAAGACTCCAAACTGGCACGTCCGGTGTCCGCACGGTAACGGCCGGTTTCCACTCACCATCTTCTGCCCATTCCGCCGGTGTCCTGCAAACCCAGCCGCGTGTGGCTCACCATCTGTCGTCAGGTCAACTCGGTGAACCAGCCGACGGTCTGCCCGAAGTCGCACGCAACGTCCTCGTCGACATCGCGGCCGTGGGATTCCAGGTCCACCCAGAAGCTTCGGCAGCCCAAGGCTGACTGGGCCGCCTAAGATCGTGCGCGTGGGCGGAGCCCAAAGGAGGGCTCCGACTGTGGGAAGTGGAAGAGGAATGAGAAATTGCGGTTGGCCCGGTTGGCCCGGTTGGGTCTTTTGTCATGAAATGATCGAGAGGGTGCCTTCTTTTGGGCCTTTTGGCAGTGAAACTTTTGGGCGATGCCATCACATCTCACGAATGACTTCCAAAAGCGATCCCATTTCGCCCTAGAAAGCAAGTTCATGCAATTTCCACATCCACATCCCCTTTCGATCGGAACAAAAGAACACACTCTATAGCTCCTTTTCAGGCCCCCGCGCGCGTTTGTCACACTGGCGCTCCCCGGTCCCGTCCAGCCATGCCTGTGTCAAGGCCACCAGCAAGAGCTCCAACGGCTTCAGGTCGCAGGATGGCACATCCAAATGTCGCACCTACCGGGCGGAACGGACTGGTAGAGGACCTTCCGATCCCCCCCAAAAAAAGAGGGACTCTAATATACTCTAATTACGTATTCGATTTTGGAGCGGGTTGGAGCACCAAGCCGCGCCCCGGGTGAACGATGTCGGTGCCGTAAATTTGTTTTTGGGAGCGGGGAAGGTTTTTGTTCACCCACGCAACCCCGACTCAGTCGCCGGAGCATCCAAGCGCACCACAGGTCGCGGCGTTTTTGGTCGCGGTATGCCACCACAGGTTCGTCGGCCTCGTGCTTGGCAGAGCCACAAGTGCCAAAATCAAGCTCCTGGTGAGACGGAGGGACTGAGGATGGCAGGTTGGGCTACATGTGTAGCACATGACAAGTTAAGTTTCCCTTGGAAAAAATGATATGTTGTATAGTAGATAGTGAATTCTTGGAGGATCCTATGGTCTCTTTAGATCCATTGCCCAACATATTAAGGTTTTGAGATGACTTGGGGTTCTTGACCTGCGGTTCTTGGTATGTTATATAATATGTGGAATGAGTAAATATAACACATCCTGCGGACTCTTGGTATGTCAAACTGTGTTGTTTCGTTCATGGTACATGGGATCCAAATCTAGTGCGTTTTGAACCGTCATCCTGTGTAGACCTCGCGGAGCTAAATAGACGTCGTTTCGCGAATTACTATATGAATTAAGATACAAATGGTTTCGTCTCGCTCAGTAAGATGTCCGGCCCACGTTAAACAAAAAATGAAAGGAAGAGGTTCATCTTTGCATTGCTTCGTTACATCCTTTTGCCCCCGTCAATCTCTATCATCCACTCGCGGAGACGGACGGAAAGAGGTTGACAGGAAGCAAGAGGGTGCTGTATCCCATGGCAAGTAAAGCGAATGAGCAAAAGATATGACATGAACATCAAGAGGGTCTTAGGTCTTAGACAAGATGATCATGAATAAATGATATGACATCATGGTCAAACTGACCATGACCTCCATTTTGCTTTTGGGAAAGAATGAGTATCAGTCCTACCCACCGAAACCAAACTTCCAAAATCGACTTCCGCCACTCGCGGCGCCGGAGTCACGGCACTCCGAACAGCACGGCGTCCAAAGCGTCCGAAGCGGCCTGAGCGGCCCAAGCAAGGTCTCGATCCACCTGGCGAAGAGGATGAGCGGATCGTCCGCCACTCGAGCGACGACCACAAGTCCGAAGAAGGGTCGATCTCGATCTGACCGCCCTTGGCCGATCGCGAAACCCGATCGACGGAGAGTTGGTCTACCGCCGATCGACGGTGCGGACGTCGGAGGTGGAGTCCGACCCTTCGCTCCAGTCAGAGAAGACGGGAGAGTGACACCTCTCCCGAGCCGATGAACACTCAGCCTTTTGGTTTTGCCGAAGACCGAGAAGCACGATTCGCAAACCGAACGAACTGGCTCCTTTCTCCACCTGTGTTGGAAAACGGATTTGGTGGAAAAAAGGGTTCGACCCGCTGGAATCAGATCGTTTGCATGGAAGCTGCGCAGGTGAGACATGTATGTCATGTGTATCTTGGGGAAACCGCGCACACGACATACACAATGAAAGATCCTCTGAACAAACCGACTGCGCCTCTGGTGTCTCTGGTATCTTCTTCAAGCATGCATACCTGTGCAGAATGTCTGCTTCCGATCTTACATCTCGAAATTCTCTGCAGAACCGTCAATGTCATTTCAAGGACTGGGATCGAAAACCATTGAAAACCCACCAGAATCAGGGAAGTTGGCATGAGTGGAATCAGAGCCAGCAAGGGCTTCCAAGCCTTGGGCCACGCTTGTCTAGTCTGAAAGCTTCAATGGGCGGCGAACCATCATCAAAATGGTGCAGTTGTCGAGTTGATGCCGCTCTCTCAGCCAAGGAACTCCTTGAAGGATGCCAAGATTGGTGATAGCTTCAAGGTTTCAGCTGGACATCGCTCATGCTCCAGAAGTTTCCTAGATGACCAGCAATCGTCTGCAAAGAGAAATCGACCCCGAAAACCTTTAGCCAACCAGTCCAACTTCTGCAGTGCTTCCTGGCTCCCCCCTTTAAACACATGGCCGTGGGTCAACCGACATCCCAAACCTGGTAGACCGGCGCCTTGACCTTCTGTTCATGTGTGGGAAAGACCAGGGGAGACCTGGTTTTGACCCACAGGCACATCTTGTCATAGACTAGACCTGCAAAGAGAAGTCCCAAGAGGAAACACCTGAGGATTTGGTTCTGTCCTAGAGCCAACCCGGCCTCTGAACTGGGTTATTCGAGGCGGCGCGCGCGAATGGAAGGGGGGCACCCCACATCATCCAACATGCCAACCTCTTCCAAGTGCTTACACCCTCCCCTCAAAAAAAACTGCTACCATTCATCCACGATTTCTCCACGTTCCAAGCTTCTCCAGATCTTCCACCATCACCTGCCAGGAGACCAAATCGACCACCAGGTGATGACACACCAGCAGAAGTCTCTGGGATCCGGCCTCCGACCTGCAGAAAACGCCACGCCACGCGGTCCGATGCGCCACGCGGTCCGACCAGTCAGACTGTGTCGACCGGAAAAGAGACCAGGACTTCGGGTGTCTCCCAGGACTAGAGATATACATCAAGGGTGTATACATAAAGGGTGTCTCCTGGATTGATTTCAAGCGACACCCCCATTGACGAATCCGATCCAAAGTCCAAATCGAACCTAAAGAAGCTCCCGAAACGCCCTCCTCATGCTTAGGCTATCCTCATTGCTGAACTTGAAACGGCTGGCACAATGTGTCTGAGTGCACAATGCTTCGGACTCAACATGCAAGAGTGAGGGCCTTGTAGTTTGCAGGGAAAGAAGAGCCCCCAACAGCAGCGGACCCTCCAATCGAACTTGCCCTTGGAGGTACTGACAAAAGTCATCCAGCTGCTCCAATCTGAGCGCAACGTGCCGGCGCGCAAATAAGGCTTAAGAATAGTTAAGAATACTGAATACATCTGAATACCGCAGTTGATTGGGGATGGACCAAGTCTACGGCTGAGACCGTCAAAGACTCCTTTGTGGCCAATGCTCCATGTCAGTCCAGTCATATCCCTGATCACATCACTTTCTCCATCTTGTTTTATCTTGTTTCTCTTCTTGCTTGGACCTACCAGCAGCGGAACAGGGGGTTCCGAAAAATGAAGGTTCAAGTCTCCCATGACTATCAGATCCCGGTCAGTCTCCCCATCCAACAGCTCGAGTCATCCAACCAAAAGCAGAGGTCTCCAAGTCATCCCGAACGGAGCGGAGCGGTGCTGCGGGGCCTTCGGAGATTCGGACGGAAAGAGATGCTGAAAGCCTGTAGGTTTCCATAGTCTATGTGGATGCCTGTTCGCTCCCTTGTTGGTCTTGGGGGAACCCCTGTAGTAAAAATCGCTATCTACTATATATATTATCATGTATTATATCAAGCAAAGCATCAAAATAGCCAAAGGGAGTGTGACTGAGGCAATCTCCCAAACACACTGAGTGATTGATCAGTCTTTGAAAAGCCAGGCTCTACACTTCGAGAGGAAGAAACTCTTTTTAAAGATGTTTATTGGTTTCTTCCTACCCGACCCGGTCTTTGGACTCGCATCTCTTGGTGGATCCACCGGTCGAATTCTTCCAAAAACAACACGGATGTCTGCCAAACGTGTCTGTCTGGCCTCACGTCGCCCACGTCCAGCACCTGCACCGAGGCTGGGGCCTCGCTGCGGGGACGCACGGACTGCACCGTGCCGTTGAAGCCTCGAGTGCACGGCGCGCGGCGTGCGCGGCATGCGCTCGTTATGTGTCACTGGTTCAGAGGATGAGCATGGCAGGAGATGTGGATTCTGTCAGAAGTCTGCTGAATCCCATGAAAAGGACGGCCAGCTGGTGCCGGCCGGTCCAAGAGCTGAAAAAGTTGCCCAGGAACTTGCACGGAGCATGTCGTGGCGCTCGGCCAGCCGCCACGCGCATCGTCGCACGGTTTCAACATCCAGGGGATGAGGAAACCTGGGCACCAGCATCAGAGATTGGTTGTAGTGATCCTTGGAGTTGCTCATCCGAGATTTCCTTTGGAACTTGGAAAACCAAACTTCAGAAGTCGTCAGACCCGGCTTTTGTTTGTTGGAAAACAGATGGCCTTTTCGAGGAGGGAACCTACCCAATCTTGCCATGTCTTCAATGGATTCACGACGCTTTGCTACAATACTAGCTATTCGGAGATCACTTGTCACAAAAGAACAACAAACATCTCTCCTCCAGCACAAGCCAAGTATCCGGATGAGACAACTGCAGATCGAAGAAGCGACGTTGCATCGGAGACAAGGGCACGTCTCCTGCAGCGTCTCGGGCACGTCTCGGGCGCGATGTGTCAAAGTGGATGGCGCACCCTGTTCGTAAAGGAACGACCGCCTTGCAAGGGACCATGCCATTCACTTCCGTTGGAGAGTACAGCTAGAATCTCGCTCTTGCCAAGATCTCTCCACACAGCGTCAACTCCTGGTCTTGACAGCCACGAACTCCCCCTCACATAGTCAAACCATCGCAGTCAACCACCGATAAGCCCCCCAAATTTGCAGTCAACCACCTGTCCTTCCTTATCTTCCTTCCAAATCCCGCGAATCTCCTTCCACACCTTCGGCCACTTCCAAGCACTTCGCGCTTCCGCTTGTCACCGCATCCATCTCCGACGCCAAATGCCAGACGGAGCTGGAGCCCATCATCCTGGAGGATGGACGGGCTTGGAGAACCGCTGTGACGGTTTGAAGCGTTTGGAGCACCGCTGGACGCGCTCATGGCGGTGGTGTTTGCTCTTTTGGTCTCCACCGTCATGAGCAATCTACAGATGCGAGCTTTTTGGAAGATCAATATTACACCCGAATAACAAAAAAAACAAACACCTGGTAGGTTCAGGAAGATCATGCTGAAGCTGCAGCTTATGAAACACTCTTTAAAATAGATGGATGAATCTGTTGAACGTAAATCCAACATTTCACACCTTCCATGTCACTCCCACCCACTCCCACCCCACACTCACCCCTTCCACCTTCCCGGTGTCACGTAGATCTGCTGCTCCCGGAGCTTGGCCGAGAGCCGAATCGCCAACACCGAGTCCCCCCCGAGGCGCAGGAAGCTCTGCTGAAGCTCCGCGGCACGCAGATCCTGAAGCTCCGCGGCACGCGGCACGCCACGTGCCACGTGGGCCGCAGGAGACGCGGCAGAAGTTCAAATGCTTCAAGTTGGAGGCTGAAATGGGGGGCTGGAGTTCGAAGGCGGACACGTCAGACCTGTGGTCTAGGTCCGACCGGTGGTGGTGAAAGTCAAGGCCCTACTGACAGTAGGGCTTTGAAAAGAGACTCTTCACGAGGAATTGAAGGCGAAGAAGTCCGATTTTGGAGATTCATTCCACCGGATTCCACACCCCCAAAAATCATCTTCATGAAAGGGATTTGGTGATATTTGGCGTTCTTTGTTTGAATGCATTTAGTCTGCTCGGTCTTATTATAAGGGCTTCGTGATCGGCATCGGCAAACGGCAAAGTGTTTCGTTTCCATGTCGGAGACATGGACCAGTTGTACATCCCTTGCGTTTCCACTCCGGCATCAATGGCAATTTGCAGACACATGGAACCTTCTTTTCAACCATGGATCTTATAGTAGTAATCTCTGTATTCTTTTCAATTTCTTCTCCCAAGGTCTAATCACATCACATCATGCTTCTGGCATCCCTCCCCCCTTGCCACAGTCGAAGCCCGCGTGTCCCAAAACGGTCACCTGCGATCCCGTCACCTGCGGCCGTTGTCTTGCGTCTTCTAGCGCGCCTTCCGCAAGAGCTGTCCCAAGAGATCCAGGAAGCATCGCCCCTTCTCCGAGAAGTCCTGTGTCTCCGCACGCCCCTCCTGTGGCGTCGGGGTCGTCGGTATACCCTTTCTGTCTCCTCTCGGACAATCCTCTTCGACGGCCGAAGGAATGGAAGCGCTGGAAGAGTTTTCGTTCGTGGCACAACACCGTGACACCGCGTGCCTCGATCGATCTTGATTCGATCGAACAGGTGGTGGAGTAAGTTCACACCCTGCTGGATTTAACTCGGCCATTCGTTAAAGAAAACATAGGAGGCTTCCTCAAAAGAGAATAATTTTAGGCATCCAAAGTTCAAGCAACATGAAGCAACCACCAACTACGAGTACCTTCCAAAAGAACTCAAATACATTCAAATACAATATGATTCAGCGATTCAGCGACCAGGTGTTTCATGGTTTTTTCATGTCTTTTCTCTTTTCCGGGTCCTTGGCCAGCAACTCCTTCGCCTCCTGCGCCAAGCGCTGTCGGTCCAACTTCCCCGTGGGACTCCGCGGCCACGCTGTGATGGGTACCACGTGCCGCGGCCGCAGCGGCGCTGGAAGCGCGTGCAGCGAGGGCGGAGCCAACCACTCCTGCGAGTGCACGGTGTGTGGATGATTGGCACTTGGAGGCCATCGCTAGTATAGGTCGGAGGCCATCGCTAGTATAGGTTGGAGGCCATCGCTCTTAGGTTGAAGGCCATTGCTACAGGCTGTGATCTCACTTCCAAACACCCTCCGCATGCCCGGCTCACTTCGCGTCCTCCGAGCGGCTCACGAAGGCCACCAGCACCGGCTCCTCCGGCTCGACACCACCCGGCGCGGCCAACAGCACGGCCGCCTCCGCCACACCTGCCAGGTGGTTCTGCCACGGTGGAGGTGTTTCGGGCAGTGTTCGGGCAGTGTTCAAGCAGCCTACACGGTCGATCTTTCACCTCGTAACATGGACCTTTCGATTTGGGACATGGACCTGGATGGCAGCAGACTCTGCCTTTTTGGAATCAGGCGTCGAGTCCGATCCTCGTTCTCGTCCATCCCTCGCCGAGTCCATCCCTCCGCACACTTTTGGGCGCCTGGGCACGTCTTCAGTGCAGATTCGATTTCTTCCAGTTCGATCCTGTGGCCGTGCACTTTCACCTACAGGGTGATCGTGAATTTCCCCGCGATCGAGGTACGAAGGATGAGCCAACTTCCTATAGATGAACTATAGGTGATGACACACAAAACGACTGTTCTTCCAAGTGAAAGCGTTCCTACATATTCCTTGAACTCCCTGCCTGTGAGTCTCGTCTTCCTAGGAACTCCAAGCCCTCCTTCCCCCATCGCACCAAATCTCCCGTCTTGTAGTGCTTTCCTGCACCACACTGCGCATCCATGAAGACCTCAGCCTGCTCGACCTGCAGATAGCCCAGCGCCAGCCCTGGTCCTGCCACCTTCAACATCCCCACGCTACCCAACACCACCAGCCCATCGTCCTCTCCACCCTCGCCCTCCAGGTGCACTGCACGGTAGGCATCCGGCCACCCGATGCACCGATGCACGCGCGTACCGCCGGTACCGTCCATACCGCCCGGACCGGCCGTGAACTCTGCGGTCGTGGTGTCCACGGCAGCTTCCGTTGGGCCGTAGGTGACGAAGAGTCGGCTCGAGTCGAAGCGCGAAGCGGTCCGCTCCAAGAGCCTCCAACGAGTCCGCGAACGTGTGAGGTTCAAAGGCACGTGTTTCTAATAGCTTTTCGTTACTACTAGTAATTAAGGCACTTGTTACTACTAGCGTGGCACTTGTTCCTAGTAGCTTCTTTGCCCCGAGTATATACTGTAGTTTGTACAACGACCCGTCGTCAATCCATACATTCTCCATACTGACTCTATAGTAGTTTCAACGAAGCGTTGATGACTTCTGCCACATTCAATTCTCGAACTTTCTAGATGCCTGCGATCAGGTTGAATGACCCCTCTCCCAAACCAAGTCACACACCATTCTTTCTTCAAGAAAATATCACCTCTCGATCCGGCACCTCTGGTTCACTGCTTCACCCCCCCAAATTGATCCGCCGCAGCGCGCCGAAGCAAAGCTTGGGATCGGCTTGGTCCTTCACAAAGGGAGACATATCATGAATACAAAATGTTAAATGGCTTGAAGATGCTTTTGAAGAACAGTGTGAAGAAAAGGTTTCACTATGTTTCACTACTGGATTTGCTTCGAAATGGTGGGTCTCAGATTCAAAGCCTTTCGACGTGACGTTCTCTTTACATCTGAAATTGGCCTTTGACAGGCTGCATGTGCAGGGTACTCGAACAGCGATGATCCCAGCAACAGCAGTAGCAAATCCAGGTACGTCAACCATGTAGGACCCCAAAGGATCTGTTGCGTTGAGCTTTCGAGTCAAAACACGAACCTCTTTAGTGAACCAAGCACGTCAAGGGATACACCTGGTGTGTCTGCGGAGCGAAAAAAAAAGGCTCCGATCACTGGGTCAATGTTGACGCATGTTGACGCATTCAAAGTGTCCAGAAGCAAGAAGGATCAAGAAGGATGAAGGATCAAGAAGGATCGAATGACCCTGCGCCTACGGCTGTGAGCCCTGCAACTTGAAGGATGACCGTCCGAGCCGAGCCCTCAGCGCTTGGCCCCGGTGCCACGGGCCGTACGGACCGTCCCGTCCAAGAACAAGGAGAAGAGAGTCGGGACCATGTCAATGTTGGTCACCTGAGCCTGGAAGCATCGCCTCTAACGAGAAACATCGCTGTTTCAGGATGAACACGCTGCTTCTGTCGATAGTGCCCGCATTTAAAAGAGCCCTCAAAGATCCTCAAAGACTCTTAGTGACAAAAAGAGTTGCAAACCAACATCTGAAGAAGCAGCCAAGAACCACCAATACCTTCTTATTCAGTCATCTTCCAAATAACGGGTGTCCTTGCTTACAGCATCTCTTACAGCTTTTGGTCGGGTGTTCCGAGAACCCCAAGAAGTCTGGAATAAGTCTCCCTGTGCTGCGCCTGTGCTGCGAGGATGGCCAAGGCTCCTGGGTCTTTGGAATCCATCTCCTTGGGCATCAAAAGCGAACCTCCCAGCACCAAGTAGGGATAAAGCCTCAGCTGAACAGGTGCGAAGACGCTGAAGATGCACACGACTTCGATGGTCGATGGTACTCGATATCTGTTGTGTCCTGTTCTAGCTTGTGCGGCAGAACAGACCTCCAAAGCCGCCGCAGCCGGGGAAAAAGAACTCTCAAACTGAACCATCTGCCCTGCGCTCGATCGTCACCTATCCCATGCACTTCTGACCGATCCGCTCTCCAAAAGAAGAAACGCTTACCTCGCATGCGACGGCTTGGGATGTCCATACGACGGCTTGGCTGCTGAGCTGGGCACTGGCTTACGGCGAAGTCAAAGGGCAAGGCCTGATCTGCAGGATGAACGAGACACAGATTTGGTCGACCATGGGCACCACAAGAAATCTAAAATCCAACACTGTAATGAGTTTGCGAAGGCTTAAACCAAAGCCACTTGGACTATAGCTATATATGGACACATAGAAACCACTAGAAACCTACTCTTCGGAGGTGTGAGATCTAATTACTCAAGAAGAGTGGACCTGCTTTTACCTCGCCAGTGTGGGTAGTGTTTGTAACCGGCAGCCTGGTCCTTTCATTTGCAGGTATTCACAGCTTCAAGCCAGCTTGCGCTTGCGCAAACATGGCCAGCGGGACAAAGTTCCCAAGGGTTTGCACACCAGATTACCATGTCTCACCTTACCATCAGTCACAAAGGGATGTGCAACTTGTGAACCCAGCTTCAGGTCTTGCTTGAGCCTTTGTTTCATGTTCCGCTGCCCATTTAGGAAGGGGCCCCTTTTTCACGCCTCAGCCTGACGCACATGGCTGGCTTCTGAGCGTACGCGCTCTTGGAAAAGACCGCGGTCCTGGTGAGGACCTACTTGTTGAGAGACAGCCCCATACGCTTCCCTGCTCGCTCCTGCTACATTGGTAGCGGAGCAAAAGCTCCTGGACCTTTTTCGACTTGAAGATCATCGCTTTTGTCTTCTTTGGCGGTGTCTTCACGCAGCGGTGTTCCTTGACTTTGCTGGTGGTCTACCGACATCCTCGCTCTGGACCTCCGGTGTCTTGGCACTGCTGAGCTCTTTCTCCTGGCCTTTGAAGAAGGCGACCCTTTTGCCTTGACCTGGCAAGCTTTGGATCTTGCCGGATCTTTTTCCTGGACTTTATCTTCGGCACCTTCCTGGTGGCATGGCGGAACTGAGGGACGGATCAGTCCCCACATGGGATGGACAGGCTCGTGGCTGGAGGCGCTACACGAAAGAAGTGGCATGGTTTGTGTCATCAACACCTGTGCACAAGAGACGCTATGTTGCTTCTCGCCTCATCAGCCGGCTGCAAGGACCTGCACGCCTCTTGGCTATGTCATGGAACCGTGGCGAGTTCGACGCACCGGATGGAACCTTGACCTTGCTCCGGAAGCTCGCAGGTTCGCCGCTCGTGCGGCGCACCCTACCAAACACGGCCGCGATCCTTCAGCAGTACCTGAGCTTTAGGCGACGGCCCAACGAAAGCATGGCTAACTTCCCCGTCCGCGAAACGTTAGGCTATGAGGAATTCTCTGAGGCCTTGACGCGGCTATGGGAGGAAAAGAATGGCATCGACCAGAACGAGCTCGACTTCGGCCTCCCACCGGTTGAAGACCAATGGGACTGGTGGTATGATGATGATGGCAACGAAGTTGACTCTCCTGATGGCGATATGCCTCATGATGCCCAACCTAGCGATGACGACCCAGCTCCAACGACTACCACTACTAGTGCCTCGGCTGCAGCAGGTGGCAACTCCGGCGCAGCTCCTGCCGCTGAGCGTGCAAGCGCTGGCTCCTCACCGAGCCGTGGTGGCCTGAGCGCTGGACCTCCTTCACTTCGTGCAGTGTCGGTGCAAGCACCTTTTGTGGCCATGAACGAGCTCTCTCCGACGGATAGCTTCATCATGGGAGTTCTTCGTGGCTGGAGACTTCTCCAAGCCGCATGCTTGAACGCTGAGGAGACTCGTGACATCCTCAGCACGACTCAGAACAAGTTGGAGTTTGAGGCCATCTCACAGGCTCTTCAGACCCTGTGGGACGAACAACTACTTGGTCAACGTCATCACCTCTCTTCGTTCCCTGGCCGTGACCATGGCTATGTGAACTGGCAGTCTTGGGAGGATGATCCTCATGACGCCTGGGATGGTGATGGCTGGTGGCCTGATGGGGGTGATCAACAATGGCATGAACAATGGCCTGAAGATGATTGGGGCGAATGGCATGAAGAACCTCATGGCGAATCCACCCTTGCAGCAGTGGAAGAAGAGGATGACCAGTTGAAGGAAGCACAACAAGCAGAACAAGCAGCAGAACAGTTGGCGATGGAAGCAAAACGAACATGGGTTGAAGCACAGCGCACGACGCAACAAATGCGCAAGGACAGAGGTTTTGGTCAAGCTGGCCAAGGCCCAAAGTGTTTTCAGTGTGGTGGGCCCCACTTTGTTCGAGATTGCCCTGACCGACGGCATCCACCCTACTCCATCGGCAAGGGCAAGGGTAAGTCTTCCTACATGGCCGACTACTCGGACCAGCAGCTCTTCTTCATGAAGGGGAAGGGCAAAAAGGGAAAGGGGAAATCAAAACACGCCTCCATGGTTTCCCATGATAGTTTTGGACCTCCAAGTCAAAGGGAAAACAACGTGGCAAGATGATACCTCCTTCTCGTCCAGCAGTGAATGCCTACACCATGCACTATGACCTTGGAGGACTTGAGCTATATGAGGACATGAACAACTTGTCCGCCACGATGCCAGAGGCATCGGCAGCATCCACAGGAATGTTGGACTGCGGTGCAACAGCTTCTGCAGCTCCGGATGTGGCCGTCCGTGGACTCATCCAATCGATCCTTTCTCACGACAAGAACGCCCGCATTGACGTGCAGCCATACATGCGGCCCTTTTTCAGGTTTGGGAATGGAAGATGGGGGCAGGCACTATATCGTGTCACAATTGGTTCGAGGGCCTCTGGTGAACTTCGTCAGTTTTCGCTGTTTTCACTCCCCAACCCTGAAGAGATGAACCCCAAGAATGTCGTCCCCGTTTTGATCGGCATGGATCATATTGGCGCACATGGTTGTCAGATGTTGGTTGATTTTGCTAGTGGCTATGTCATTGACGGTGTCGACCCCAATCCCGAGATCTATCAACTGAACACCAATTCCAAGGGTCACTTTGTCTATGACATCATTCACCACCTCACCAAGGGTCACACCAACACCAAGGGTACGGCAGTTGTGCACATTTGTGAACAACATGAACAACAAGATCTTGCTTGTGGAGTTTTGCAATTTCGCCCTCTTGAGTTTTACAATGCACATGTTTCAATGGCAAGTCACGTGAACGAAGCCGATCGTCGATCTCTTCTTTGGAAGCTCTATCAGCATGTGAAGTCTTCATCCACTTCTGCAGCTTCTCTGGCTCACATGAGCTCATCGGCTACAAGCCCGACTTCCCCGGACGACATCTCCTTTCGTGCTCACCTGCAAGGCCACGTCGCGAAGCCCAATGGAGCATCAGACGACTCAGGCCGAGCAGGATATGGTGGACTTCATCAAGAACCTCAAGCCGCCAGCGGCCAAGAAGCCCTCGCAACCTCCGGACACCTCTCGAGCGATCCAGATGGATCCTCGCGATCCGAGGGCTCAAAATTGCTGGCCTTGCTACAACCGACACGTCCAAGGAACGTGGCAGAGCAACATGCACGGAACCTGGTCGCACTGCGAGATTTGCAACTTGCGCTTGGCCTATATCCCAAAGAAGGGCGCTCCAAGCAACTCGACTCAGGCACTCAACCACGTGATGATCAAGCGCATGTTGACCGAGCTGGAACCGCTGATGCAGGGCACTCGCCCAACAGCTCGAATCTGCAAGGCAATGATGGACAAGATCACCGCAGACACTCAGCTGGAGACCTTGGTGCAGCAGGCGATCAGCACGCCTGTGAAGAAGACAGCGGTGAAATCCAGAAGTGCTCCAAATCAGCATCCGTCATCCCCTGTGAAACAGGAGCCCACGGGCTACCAGACACCTCCGGCAATTCAGTCGCCGCCCGCTCCGTCCTGTTCAGCAAGCTGGGAACTTCTGCAGACGGATGCCAACGACCTGCAGAATCTCCTGACCGACCACGAGAAGGCTCAGCTCATGAAGATTCTTCGAGACCGCCGACAGGAACAGGAAGAACTGCCAGCGGCCTACGAGGACGAGAGTGGTCAGCAGCAGTGATGGATGATGGTGCATCATCTCAACAGAGCTCTACGGCCTCTGTGCACTATGTTCAACCTTCCTCATTGAAGAGCGCTTCAAAGACTTCCAAGACTATGACATCAGCGAGCTCTACTACCAAACCTTTGCCAAATCGTGTGGCTCACAAGGTTATGCACATGGTGAACCTCATGACGGCTTCGCTGATGACGGTGGCTCTTCAGATCAATCTGGAAGGACGCATGGGCATGTGGGAAATTGCATGCTCTGAGAACAGCTGGCTCACCTCGGCAGCCAATGACCATGGCATCAACAGCCGGCGCATCAACTACGCCCAGGGCTATGACATCTACCGTGATGAAACCTGGGAACGACTCAAACAAGAGCGTCGACAAGATCGACCTCGTAAGCTCTGGTTCTCGCTTCCTTGCACTCGCTGGTGCCAGTGGACTCAGGTGAACTACAACACCCCCGAGAAGAAGGAAGTTCTGGAATCTATGAGGCGTCGTGAACGCCGCATGCTTCGGAAGGCCAAGGACTTCATCTTGGACTCCCTCGATGATGACCCCAACATCAACATCTACTTTGAATGGACCTTCCCGTGCAGTGGATGGAGCCAAAAGCCCATGGTTGAACTTGAAGCTGAACTACACCATCGTGGCATTCCCTGGGAGCAATGCCGCATGGATGGGTGCAACTATGGCATGATGGACAAGAATGAAACTGGCTACCTCCACAAACGGTGGGTGATCAAGACCACCGATGAGCTCTTTTGGAAGAATTTCCGGGCAAAGGTTTGCCCCAAGAATCACAAGCACGTCCTCATCCAAGGACTTGAGACTTCCAGATCTGCATACTATCCCAAGCGAAGCGGATGGTCGAATCCATTGTGAGGCACTGGAAACGTCAACTTGCTCCTCTCCGACATCTACGTCAGTTGACCTCTCACTCCAGTGAACTTCAAGAAGGTGAAGACGAGAACTGGCAACGTCGTCTTCTACCTCAAGGTTTCCAAGATCGTCTATGGCATGATCCTGGCACTCAAAATGCACTACCTGCTGAAGAATCACATGATGATCCTGAACCAACAGGTGATGTGGTCGCAGCAGCTCCGAACGTCTTTGATGGCATCACACCTCAAGAACAAGAAGCCTGGCAAGCCAAACTCAAGCACTATCATCGAGCCGCAGGACACCCGACCAACAAGAATCTCATCCACCTCTTCAAGGACGCTGGACTCCCGGCCTGGAAACTGGCCATGGCACGAGATCTCAAGTGCTCAGCGTGCGCCAGCATCAAACCTGGTGGCTCTTCTTCTGGACTGGTGCCCCCGGCAGCAACCTCTCTGGCCTATCGACCATGGGAGGCAGTGGGTGTGGACTCTTCAGAGTGGCTAGTGCCACACCAGAAACTGAAGCTGAAATTCATCGTCTTCATTGACCTGGCGACTCGCCTTCGTGTGATCCACATCGTGAAGGTCTACGGCTTCCTTGAGATGCAAGGTGAAAGCTCGGCTGACTTCATCCAAGGCCTCGCTGAGAAATGGCTGAGTGACAAACCCAAGCCTCGCATCCTCATTCCGGACAATGCGACAGCCTTCAAAAGCCGAGAAGTACATGACTTCTGCAATCAAGTTGGCATCCAGTTGACCTTCCCTGCCGAGAAGGAATCATGGGCGCATGGCATTGTCGAGTCCGCGATCAAAGACATCAAGATGACAGCATCGGCCATCCAGATAGATCAACCCTCTCTGGATCCAAAGGTCACTCTCATGCTTTCAGCTGCAGCTCTGAACTCCACCGAGTACACCAAGGGCTACAGCTCCTATCAATGGTGCTATGGCAAGGACTACACCTTGGAGGATGAAGACATTCGCACCTTCCACGATCCTCTACAAGATGGCAACAGCATGTCCTATGAAGCTCTGGTCAGAGCTAGACAAGATGCTGAAGCTATTGCTCGCAAAACACGAGCACTACGTGTGATGAGCCGATTGAAGAACAGCACTGTTCGACAACCTCTTCGAACCTTTCACCCAACACAGCTGGTCAAGGTGTGGCGACGTGAATGGCCCGCTCATCTCCATCAAGGCAAGCGTGGTGGAGGCAGAAAGGCCGTAAAACCACACTGGATTGGACCTGGCAGAGTGATCTTCCATGAAGTTCTACCTCATCAAGATTCTGAGGATGAACGACGACACATCGTCTGGGTGCTGATTGGAACTCAGCTGATGAGGTGCAGTGTCCACTCCGTTCGACCAGTCACCACGACTGAACAGATGGCTTATGAGATTGCCAACAAGGACGACCCAACTCAGTGGCGTTCGATTGCCGACCTTCTCCCTCAGCGAGACTTCACAGATCTCACCGACCAAGTCCCGGGAGAACATGAACAAGAAGAACCTGATCTACCAAATCAACCCGATCCTGATCAAGCTCTTGTACCTCTTCGAAGAGCTGGCTTCAAGCAGCGTGTCCCTCCTTCTGGCATGGTTCCGGCAGCAGTTCGCCGCCGACTACAAGAACTGGAAGACACGGGAGAATATGAACCTTCCATACCGGATGAACAGGCACCTCCTGATCCCTCCATTGAGGTTGTGAATGACTACGGCACTGGCAGTGCACCCTCCACTGGACCTCCAGTCCCAACAGCTCCAGCAGAGGAACCTTCGTCAATCGTGCCGCCTGATGAGAAGCGGAGGAAGACGGACCATGACGATTCCGATCTCTTCAACGCGTCTTCCAGGCAACTGCCCAACTACAGTGATGTTAATTGGCTCAACAATATGGTCGTTGAGGAAGATCAAAGTTGGGAGTGTTTCGAAACCATTTTGGACGACAATCCCGATGTGATGACCATGGAATTTGAGCTCAACTTCACCTCCAACAGGCAGCAAAAGATGTTCCTTCGCAACCCAACCGCATTCCTGGTCAAGAAGATGAGAGACTCTGAGGTGATCTTCGGCAAGCTCTCTGCTGAACATCGTGCTCTCTTCATTCGGGCAAAGACTAAGGAAGTCAACAGCTTCATCCAGAACCAAGCAGTCCGCAAGAGCCTGAATGATGCGGAGACCAAGACCGCCCTCAGCTCTGGCAGAATTCTCCGAGCCAGATGGGTTCTGACTTGGAAGCTGATTCCTCCTGAAGATCGCGCAGCCGCTCGCCAAGATGGAATGTCTAATCCATCAACTGTGCACACCAAGGAGGGTGACAGAAAGGCCAAGGCCCGCATCGTGCTCCTGGGCTACGAGCATCCTGAACTTGGTTCCACCTCCTACAGAACAAGTTCACCTGTGCAGTCGGTCATTGCCAGAAACCTTCTGTACCAGATCACATGCCAACATGGCTGGAAGTTGGAAGGTCTGGATCTGGCAACCGCCTTTCTTCAAACACGGCCAACCTCGGCTGATGAAGAGATGTGGACCAGTGGCGTTGCTGAGCTTCGTGAAGCTCTACAAGTTGGGCCTGAAGGCATCATGAAGATCCTCAAGAACATCTACGGCAGCACCACGGCGCCGAGAGGCCTATGGCTCGACCTGCATCGCACCCTATGTTCACTTGGTGGCCGACCGGCCATGGGAGAAAGGTGCTTGTGGCTATGGGCAAGCTCAACAGAAAAAGATGCAGCCGGTCATCCCAAGATCATCGGCATGATGGGCGGACACGTAGACGACTTTCACCGAATTGGTGACCCATCCAGCTCAGAGTGGTCCTCCATATGCGCCCGCATCGACAAGGCGTACCAGTGGGGATCAGCAAAATGCAATGAGTATCGCCATGCAGGCACTGATGTGAAGGTCACCCTAGACAACGATGGTGACCAGGTGATCACTGTGAACCAGCAGTACTACATCGACATGCTCACCGATGTTGAGATTCCTGTTGAACGCCTGCGTGATGAAGCCACACCACTGTCCAAACAGGACCTTGCAGCTTGCAGGGCAAGCTTAGGTGCGCTGCAGTGGCTTGCTGTGCAGACGCAACCACTTCTATGTGGCCGGTGCAACATACTGCTCAGCGAATTGGTGAAGAATGGCACAATGGCCCATGCCGTGGAGATTCAAAAGATGATTGGTGAAGTCCGGCAGTCTCCCAGTGACCTCAAGTTCTTCAAGCTGAAGAAGGCCAAGACCTGGCGTGACGTCTGCATCATTACTTTTGCAGACCAAGCCCACGTGAACAGGCCTGGTGGCGACTCCACGGGAGGCATCATCACGATGCTCGCTGGCCCTGAGGCCAAATCTGGACAGGTGTGCCCCATGGTTCTCCTTCAGTGGAGGGCCTGGAAGCTGAAGCGCAAAGCAATTGGTTCCAATGACGCAGAAGTGCAGGCGGTGCTTGAGGGCGAGGACGCCAACTTCCGCGTCAAGTTGCTGTGGAGTGAACTTCACGGAGCCGGATGGGACCGTCCGGTCCATGCTGACCAAGTGTCGTGGGCAGAGCAGCAAGCTCGCGACATACCTGGAATCTTGTGCACAGACTCCAGAGGTGGCTACGATGCTGTGCAGGTGAATGAGAGTCCTCTTTTGGGACTCAGCAACCTTCGAAGTGCCCTACAAGCCATGCAATTGCGTGAGAGCATGATGCGAGTCGGCACCTCCTTGAGATGGCTTGCCAGTGATTACGACTTGGCCGACAGCATGACAAAGAAACGACCTGATTGCAGGACAGGTCTCACAAAGTACCTGTCCAAGCGCTTGTGGTGCATAGCATTCGACCCCTCCTTCACCGCTGCAAAGAAGAATGCCAAGAGTGGCCGCACCGCTGTGAGAGCCATAGATGAAGCAGCAAGACCTGATCTTTCCTTTTAGGCTGGTGCAACTTGTGAACCCAGCTTCAGGTCTTGCTTGAGCCTTTGTTTCATGTTCCGCTGCCCATTTAGGAAGGGGCCCCTTTTTCACGCCTCAGCCTGACGCACATGGCTGGCTTCTGAGCGTACGCGCTCTTGGAAAAGACCGCGGTCCTGGTGAGGACCTACTTGTTGAGAGACAGCCCCATACGCTTCCCTGCTCGCTCCTGCTACAGGATGCCTATTGGAGGATAGGGTGCCCATTCTCCACTCACTTGGGGACTAAAAACCATCCCTTTATATATATAACTCATTCTTGATCCTGCTTGTTTTCATGGGTCGAACAGTCGAACGATGCTTTTCACCATGTTCGTGCAGTCTCAGTCGACCGAGGGGCAATGGATTGCAAGACCGAGTCCATGGCCGTGAGGTGAAACTTCGCACAGCAGGAGAGCACATGGCTCAGCACCGCGCTGTGCGACACAGACACTCCTCGAAGGGGTCAGCAGCTGGGTCAGCAGCTAGGTGCTAACTTTACACTGGAGGAACACTTTAGAAATAGATCCAAAAGCATCGGACATATCTACCCACCTGTTCTACCTGCAATACTATATGCAATGGATTGTAATGGTAGATCAAATCTGAGTCCGACACAGTCCGACTGCATTGGATGACCAGGTTTGATGGAATGCTGTGGTGGAAGTGTTGTTTTTCGCCCTTTTGTTGGTACTTCCACCCATTCTCTATGTGGGAGCTATTGAAGGGTTGCTAGCAGAACGGAAGCATACAAGTATGCCACTTCTTGGTGACCAACATTCCGACTTCCGACTCCCCCCCGAACGCCCCGCGGTGGCGTCGCCGACCCGCGACGTCGCGGTCGTCCGTCCGTTGTTCATCGCGGTCCTTTGGGACGTCCCGTGGTGCCCGAGGTGAAAAGCACGTACATCTCGCGGTGCCCCACGTGGGCGGAACGGGCGTTCGGCCTCGTCGCGCGGCCACGCGGGCTGTTGTGCGGGCGTTCAGGGGATGTTTCATGGGGAGCGTTTCGTGGAGACGACGTGGGACGTGGGACAATTTGGAGTGGGGTTCTGAATTGGAGTGGAGTGAACCGGTGTTTAAGTACTGTGAAAGCCACTTGGAGCTTGTAGACAGGTGGAGGATGACCGTTTCTTTTGCCTGTTAGTCCATGTGGAAGGAGGGAAGTGGGTTCGCTTCGCAGTCAGCACTGATGAATTTTCGGCAGGTCTAAAGCGAAAACACAGACTTCACAACGTTCGCAGGTCTTCTTCACTCTTCGACAGCCTGTCTTTGACGCTAATCCCAGCCATTCCCAGCCTAAATGGACTAGTCTTCAGCTCGGATTTCGGTCCCTCAAAGACCTGACGGTCTAAAAGGGGGCAAAGGGGCAACGGCAAAAGTGGATATTCGGTACAGTATCAATATGGTGAGAAATGTCCGAATCAAACGCAACTCACGAGCTCGTGCGGTTGCTTGCCACTCTTCAGACATGCCAAGCACACGACCCTCTTCGCAGCTTCTGTAGACTGACTTCTGGTTCCATCAGCATTAAAAAAAAACAGCGGTGTCAAAGGTTGGGCGATGTCTCAGTCCTATCCCAGACTACAAACAGTGCTCCCCACAGTTTCCGTATCAAATCACCTTTGGAGGATCAACCACCATCAAAACCACCAACCCTGCAAGCCTCTGCCTCTGATAGCATCAGCCTAGGGATGTGGCCTCAGTGTCCGAAAACACACTTGTCACTGTCCTCCAAACTCCGTCCATGGCGATGTGCATCTCAAAAAAAGGATCCTTACTAATTACTAGTAACAAGAAGCTACTAGGGGCTCCTGGCATCGCTACTAGGAGCAAGGACGCTACTAGGGGCCTTACTAGAGCAAGAAGCTAGGAACAAACTTCTCAAAGAAAGGATCCACTTTTGGAAGGTGTGCGACCTTGGAACTTGTGTCTCCTAGCTCCAAGGAGATCGCTATTAGGTTGGATGCCATCGGTAGTAGCTTGGAGGTCATCGCTAGGAGGTTGGAGGCACTCACTATTTGGTTGGAGGCCATCGGTAGTAGCTTGGAGGCCATCGGTAGTAGCTCTTCAGTAACTTGTATCTCCTACTAGTTCCTCCTAGGTCGCTTCAGCATACTATATTTTTTTCCGCGCGCCAACAGGCTGTGGAGAAACTCCAGACTCCAGACGGCGAGGGGCTCAAGTGGTTCGAGTGGCTGCGCCTTTCTTCCGCGCTTGTCACCAGGATCTTGACCTCCGCATCCCACACCATCGAGCGAAGACGCTCTTCTGGCAGATCCTTGGCACCGTGCCGAAGATTTGAGAATCTCCACCCTCCCAAGTTGGAGGATTTTTGCTTGAAACAATGCCAAAAATGTTGCTGTTGGGTAGATCAAGTGGCACATTTTTCGGGATGATGGGACCATATTGGGTGAAGGGACCGCCTCCAGTTCCTGAACAAATGGAAGGTCCTGAAATGGAACCATTGCATGAACGCTTTGGAATGAAATTTCAAAAATACCGGTCGTTTGGAAGCTCCGCAGACAAACAAAGCTCCGTCAAGCAGCCCCAGGCAAGGGTACGTAGGCAGACTCCGCCAAGAGGATGCCCAACAAACTCGGAAGCAGCAACGGCCCCTGCGCGCACGCCCAAAGGTCGATGTTGTCCGACAAAGAAATTCGGAAAAAAATTGAACCTATGGCCTACAAACCTAGTTCGACTATAATTGTCCTAAGTGAAGTAAAGGGAATTCCCGATATCAGGCTTTAGTCTTTGACTCGCATCAATGTGCCATGTGAAAAGTGGGTTAGACAGACACGATATCGCCGGACAGGAAACAAAGAAAGTGAAACACAAGGTTAAACACCACACCGTTGAGCGGGCGCCAGCTTCTTTTCCGTGTTCAATAAACGAAGGTCCTTTCACTGTACTCCAAGTCTTTGGGCGAAGGTTCGCAGACCTTTCATACTCCATACTTGAACAGCAGTGTTGTATCACAACACTGGGTTTCAGCGTTGGTTGGAAAACACACAGACTAGCTGGTATTAAGTCATCTTCGATGAGCTTACCTGATCACTCACTGTCACAACTTCACCCACTGTTCAATAAGGAGACAAAAGGCTGGAGATCTTCAGGCTTAGCCACAAACGGTCAGAAGGGAAAGGGGCCTCGTAAAAGATCCACCCCTGGGCTTGGGCCCACTGATCTTCAAGACCCAGGCTGGACAAACCATCCGAGGGGTTACTCGCAGAGTCAACCCATTCAATCCAAGCACGAGTTTTGCAATGCTCAAAAATCAAAAACCAAATGTGATCAGTGATCAGTGATAACTGTGCAATGGTGTGAACGTCACACTGACTACTGGAACCGCGATTCAGGGAAGCAACCGCAGGTCCACTATCGGCAAACCACAGGACATCACGCCCCTAAACGAGCTGGTGATGGAGCCAGGGTACCATGCGCGGGCAACGACCAACAGGCGGTTGGCAACTGGGTCGAGCTGCTCCGGATGCCCAGTCCTGCGTCTAAACAATGAGCGCTTCATTCCGGCCAGGTGACACGAGCCCACCTGAAGCGGTTCACGAGCTGCTCCGGAACCGGAACCCGAGGATGCAGTCTCTGTCACCTCGTCTACGACATCAGTTTCGGCCACCGACGTCTCGAGAGGGTGCATTGTCCAATGATGAGGTTGCTGAGTCCCTTGAGTTTATGTCGTGCGAGGGCTGGCGCCGCGATTCTCCGTTCGCACAAAATGTAGCGGCTGATGGTGAAGGCTTCTCCTCAGTGAACCAGAATGACACGGAGGACCTTCTGCCAGAAATGATTCTTAAGGTTTTGTGGGGTTACGAACCGTGAAGCCAAAGCGGGTGGCGTAGTCACATAATCCGGCCGGATGGTGGGCCGGCGACAGGCCCAACAGCAGGTCCAAGAGCGCCTGCTTCTTTGCTGCCTTGGCAGCCATCTCCTCAACGTAGGAGTCCTTGGCCGCGAGCCTTGTCATCAAGGGGGCTCACAGCGTTCCCCAGTCTCCAACAGCCGGCGCACAGGTCGAGCGGCGGGGTGATGGTCAGTGGATGGCATAGATTTATAATTTAGATATATATATATATATATTATATATATATATATAGATTGCCTGTGGATGCAAGCCTCCCGGCGGTTGTGGCGCTGAGATGCCGCTCGTTGAGAGGCGCGCCCGTGAGGTGGCCATGAGCAAGTCCCCCGGTAGCCCAAATCGCCTGGACATCCTCGCATGTTTGCCCCCAGCATAGCCAGACGATCGAGGAGGATCACCGGGCGGTCCGCCAGGAGCTTGCGGCATGCCCGGCAAGCCAAGCGATGCCAGCTCCCGAACAGCAGTCGCAGATCAACTCCTCGGAATCGCACGAAAGCCAAGGGACGCCCCTGGTAGCACCCCTCGCACCAGCTCGTAGCCCACAGGCCGCAACAGCGGCAGAAGTCGGGCTGTACGTCGGGGAATCTGGGCACCCCGGCCCCATAAACGTACGCCGAGCGTGCCGCCACACAGCCTCGCGCGTTCCTCCACCGCCCCCAATCTCCACGAAGCAAATTCCGAGGTGAAGATGGGGGGCATGGCAGAGAGGAGAAGAAGAAGGAGGAGAAGAAGAAGGGGATCGAAACTTGAGCCAAAATGGCATCAAGATTTGGGGATCAACATTTTATGTTTCAAGTCTCAATGTCCCTACCCAACCAACCTGGTCCATTGTGAACTGAGCCCAGCACAGGTGGCGTGACTCTGAGCAAGTGGCATGAAAAGAGGCAAAATGGGAAATGAGAAGCAGGGGCCACAGCAAACCGGAACGCGCCACAAAAACCTAGTGTGAAACCGAACGCTTGCAAGCTTGGATCTGGGCCTTCAGGCGAAGTAGCATGCGAACCGTGTCTTCGGGGTTACACGGTGGAACATCAGCACACGAGATTGGGGGCGCAAAAAAGATATGTGAAGAGAATCAAGCACAATTTGACCACACACAAGTTTGGGACGAACTTTGAATCCCGCAAGTCGAACACCAAATGGAAAAGCGCACAAGGATTCCGCATAGGTGATCATCTGATCACGGGGAAAAAGTGGTTGATCTGAAACATAGTGCATGGCAACAAGAGTTCTGCGAAAACCCTACCCAACCAACCATTCATTCATATTGAAAGATAATCATCATACTTCCCCCTCCTGAAGGAGCCAAATCCAGGATGGGCCACAGAAGGGTTGTTGGTCTATTCAAGCTGGTGGGCTTCGATGCTTTCCGAAGTAAACCAGAGAGGTCAGGCATCGAAGTTCGTTAGCTCATTTGATTGGGGGTGTTGTCCCCATTGGTTTTGGAGAAGGGTTCTCTGTGACCAACTAGCTTGTAGCCTAGGCATGTCCTACCAAATTCATGTCCGGAACCTATGTGCACGCTCCCAAGTTTCTAGCAGCAGCTTATCCTGGCTCTGCAACCTTCTCCCCAGCTCTTCGATCATCCCACTTCTCTCTCTTCTAGCGCGAAAAATACATGCGTTCTCCGCAAGCCTTCTCCATCATCAGACCCACTCGTCTTCGAGCAAAATCTGTCAACTTGGATGCCACGCGGGCGGAGGCAGCCACGAGCATTTCGAAGGACAAACATCGACCAGCCTGGCCAGGATCAGGTGCGGAACGCAGGAATTGCAGGGACTGGGGAGGTTTTGGAAGACCAAGTAGGTCAAGTGCTAAGCAGCTCAACACCACCTGCCACCTGCTGGTGAGTAATCCATATATACTGTAACCCATACACGGTCAGAAGGTGACCACTGAGGACTGAGGGCGACCACTGAGGGCGACGGGACGTGGGACGTGACCCACAGAGCTTGAGGGTATTCGCCGACGACATCCGAAGCGCCTGGGCTTCCTCCGTCTGGTGGGGGAAAGGCGTGAATGCTTTGTGGCCCTCTTACTGCAGGAACTAGAAGCTATACTAGGTGGAGGCCATCGCTACTAACAATAAAGCTTTGTAACTAGAAGTTTCTGTTGGTCAAACTTAAGCTGGGACTCAGTGATTGGTGGTGTGGGGATGGGAAATGCAAAAAGTACCATGCCTTCGCACGAGTGCTTGCTCACTCCCCGTAGCCCTGCACAAGGCCCCAACTGCCTGCATTTGCACCGCACAGCTCTTGGGCGTGCGCTTCGCTTGTTGAAGGATCAGCTGATGCACCGCAAGCTGTGGCAACGGCACAGAGGAGCCCACGCAACCCTCGTGCAGCTGGCGCCTTGTGGCCCCGAGACACGGCGACCAAGGCCAGCACGCCGTCGATTTCGGTGGCGTAGTAGGTGGGATAATGGGTATTGATGGCACTGGTGGTGGTGTTCGACGGTGGGACAGTCCGTGAGGTGGCATTCTTTCAGTTCTGAGTTCTGAGGTGCCAATCTTCTAAACCGTAGCTATCATCCACCAGCACGAGTTCGGCAGGAGATGGAGCGAGATGGAGCGGAGATGGAGCGGAGGTTGCGTCAGATGGAAGCCACCGCCAGACGGTCACAGAGGGCTCTGAAAGTTCCTCATATGGAACTTGGTGGCATTGGTGGTAGGTTGGAGGCCATCACTAGTAGGTGACCGTGGTCCAGGTGACTCCGTGAGATCTCATGATGTCCAACATTCGGAAGACCAGGATCAAAGGTTACCCGTAGCATCCCGTAGCATGAGTTGGGTTTTTGCGATACCAACCCGCCCCCAAACCACAACGGCCCGCCCCTCCGCTCGCCCTCCGGCTCGCCACCGGCGCCTTTCGCTGGGCGCGAGCCAGGTCCAAGGCTTCAGCTCCACGTGGAGCTCCGTCAGCAGCTCCGCCCACTGTGCGGCCAGCCACTCCCCGCAGCCGTCGCGGAGCTCCCACAGAGCTGCGAGGGCGGTGGGAATGGTGATGCTGGTGGGAACACGGTTGTGGGGAATTGAAAGGTTCGTCTGGTGAGACCAGAGCGCAGTGGTGAAGGATTGGGAATGGTCTAGGGTTGCCTTGTTTCGGCACTGCATCTCCTGATTTGGGATGGAGAAAGATGTCTCACATCAATCAGATGTTGTTCCAACCACGTGGTTGAAACTCCTGCAGGGACCGATCTTCCTGCATTTCAGTTCCCTTTTGATGTCCCCATCTTCCAGCGTTCAAAATACTAGTATACTCCCGCCACCTCATATCCCAACATCGCTTTCACACACACTCTCTCGCGGTCTCTCTCGTGAGATTTTCCGTCGGCCTTTGTATCCATCGAAGCGTCGTGATCTCACCAAATCCAGCGACAGCTCAAACCTCGTTGATGCATCCGGACCCACACGAACCCACATCTCTCAACAACCAGAAAAGCATGGTGCCAAAAGGAAGCGGATTGTTGAGGTGCTTCAGGTGTCCTCAGTTTCCTCCACCAGTTCAGGCTTGTGAGAGACCCATGGTTGGAGCTCTCTTGCAAACTGAATGAACCACTACCAACTTGATCCATGTCGCATATTTCGCAGCACAGTCATCGGAGCTCACCTTTGGACCCCAGACCCCCAGGTCCTCTGCCCCCCCCAAATCAAAACACCACATGCCTTAGCTTTCCAAGGATCGAAACCACCCTTCCGACGCGGTGGCCCGGATCGGTTCTGGCGAAGTCTTCTTCCGCCCGACGAGGCACTTGGCGTCTTGCTTGACGTCCAGGTGAGTGAGACTCCAGGGTTGCGAGACGACGCCCCTGGCGACCTCACGAACGCACCCGAGCGCACCGAGGAGAGCGCTGCGCATCGAGGGGCGCTGCAGAGCGCAAGAAATCCGTGTTGGTGGTCGCACGAGGCGAGAGTCCGTTGGTTCGGGCGACTCAACGACTCAGGTGGGAAATGGCGGGGGAAACCGATCCCCAACTGTGCAAAGAAGTCTGGATGAACAGTTCACTGATTTGATCTACCGAAAAAGAGTCAAATCTCAAAGGCTAGGGCGATGGTTCGCGCCTTTGAAACCGGTTTCCAAAGCCCAGTTTTTCTGGCATCCTTGCTGCTCCTCTCTCCCAGACTCTTCCCATTGGGCCCCTTTCCGACGGTTGTGGCCGCTCCTCAGGTTGAAACGCCTCTTCGTGGACATCAAACATCGTCTGCAGCTCAGAGGTCCCCTGCACCGCGATCAGTTTGGAACTCTGACTGTCCTTCGATCCCAGATGGTCCGTTTTGCCTCATGTCACCTAAAAGTTATGAGCTACCAGACACCGGGACTTCCAAACAGGAGAATACCCGATGTATTCCGGACTGTTCCCATCGATAATCTTGCGGTTTTCCGTCAGATTCCAGGTGACTTCAGTGCAAGGTCAGAACCATCATCTTCCAGGACTCACCAAGAGGTCCATGATGGTCCATGGAACTGCTGGATCATGCATCATCGCCTCTGGGCGCAACTCTTGCAAGAGCTTCTGGAAGGGAACGTGTGAAGTCTGCAAGGCAGCCAAAAGTTGCTCCTGCACTTGCCCTGGCCGAGTCTCGTACCGTTTCGGACGGGTAGGGTAGGGCCAGGGCTGCTCCAGGGCCTGGAATGAAGACCACACAACTCAAAGGAACAACCGGAGGGAAAACAAGTAAGAAACGACATGTTGAGTTTCATGTCTTCCTAGTAAGATCTTCTAGTTACTAGTTTGTGCGCAGCTTTGCCATTATGGGTGGCATGGTCTCGAAATGCGAGGAGAAGTAAGAGATAAAAAAGGCAAAACGCCAAAGGAAGGAGGCGTGTTTTGGAATTTTTGGACACTCCAGCACATGGCAACTCGTGTGTTGAGTCCACTCTCCAACGGCTCGTTGGCCCCTTTTCATCACCTGGGGACGACCCTGAGTTCGATCGCTGCTTTCACTGTCGCATGGGATGACGTCTCGGCATTGGCCGGACCACTGTGATCCTCTCCCCCCACACTCACCACAACACCTCAACCGCAACAAAAACGGCACCAACCACGCGAGATCACAACGAGAAACACGAAGAAATCACCGGCAGCACCGAGAAACGCGGAAATCGGGGCGGTGCGGCGCCTAGGATCGAACGGAAGGAGAGTGCGTGATGCTGCTCAGTGAGGCACACCCGCACCAGACTGGTGTTCACAAAGCAACCCACCATCTGCTCGGTGCCATCATAGCTGTGCCTGTTGCAAAAGGTTGAAATGTTTCAGCTATGCCAGAAACCGGGGGTGAGCCGGTGAGCGTTCTTCCGGACCGCCACTAGGTGGGCACCTCGTGTTATCTCATTGATCACATGTCTATAATCATTTGCTGTATTGGGGTCGCAGATCGCACAGTTTCTGCCTCATGCCGTGAAGCACTGCTGGTCCTGTCCACCTCTTTTAAACCCAAAAACGGCCTCCCCATCGCCACTCTCGTCACGCCGAAGTCCAGTTCAGCGCCGTCATGTCAGGTTTCTGGTGACTCGAGACCTGCAACAGTTCAGTGACTCCCGGCCTCCGGGAGACCGGGATGCCAATGACGAGGTCCTTTTGCTGACAGCATCGCCCCAAAAGTGCCCCATAGGCCGCCAGCAGGACGGTGAATTCTGTCACACCCTCCTGCTGCGCCAGGCGCCGCACCGGCTCTGCCGGGGCGAAGGAGGTCCAGCGCTGTGGGGCTCCACGGCCAGGGGCAGCTCTGGGCAGCTGCAGTTGGAAGGTGCAGCCCTGCGGCTGGGATAGGTCGATCTGAAGGCATGATTCCTCTAACAATGGCAGAAAATGGAGGGATCTTCACTCGGAAGTGCTTGACAAATGGTGCCAAATATCAGCATTACATCGGGTGTTGCTGGTTGGACGCTGACAAGTGGCAATGATTCCAAACCTGGAAGCACCACTAAAGAGTGTAGTTCAGGAAAGCGACAGAAGCCACGAAAAAGACAAAAGTTGTAGAAACCAGAAGCCGCAGAAGTCAAGAGCCAGAAGCCAGGGAAGCTACCAAATACCACCAAAAATACCAAAAGTGAGCAAAAAACTAAGCCCGGGCCCATGCAGAATAAAGAACAACAAATATTCCTCTCAAATGCACCCTCCTTTCAGAAGACCAACAAAAATTATCTGAGACTTGCGACCTCACAGCTTGTACGCGTCGCGTTCCATCACCCTCCCCTCCTACAGTCAGCTTCTTCCCCCCCCCAACGCCGTTTGGCCTTCAAGCGTTCCATCATCACCACGAGCTGGGCGCCGCTTTCGCTCCCGCGCTGCTGGCGCTGCTGGCGCGAAAGCGAAGAGGCCAGCAGCGAAGGCAGGGGCGGCAGCGCAAGGTCCTCGTCCAACAAGGTGAAATCCAAGGAGTTCTTCTTTCGTGTATAGTTTCAGAGTAGATGGCGCAAACCCCATGATGTCCTTTAGGTGAGGGTCCATATAAACCACCACTTGGGGTCTGTGCCATCTACTCTCAATCCAAGTGTAATATGTATATATATATATAGAGAGAGATGGAGCAATCAATGTCAATGACCCACATAATATTGTGTCGGGGGTCAAAATTCCAATGTCTCGCGCCGCAGTCATCTGGAGCCTGAATTTGCCTTCAGTTCAGTTCGCGTTCAAGGATTGTGGTACATCCCGCTTTCGAGCAAATCCCGCCGCAGCTCCGCAGCTTCGCACCTCGTAAAAGGCCCACAGATCGCGCTGAAAGTATCTCAAGGATCCACCATCAAAGGCCACATGATGCACATTCACATAGAGCCTTAGATCGGCCATGGCAGCGGTGGAGCCCCATGGTGCAAAGATACGGATGGGGTGTCAAGTATCGACTTTGGAACGATGACAAGAATTGGCCATGTTCCGGGAACGATGCACTCCTCCTGTTTCTGGAAAACGAAAGGGCGGAACCGCGGAACCGCGGAGTGTGGAACTGCACTTGGGTGGGAAGGTCGATGCATGTCGTCGTGGCGGGAGATATGGGGTCGGCTCAAGCCTCACTGCCCGCCACCATGCTTAGAAGGGCGTTGGAGCGACCTTTCCACGTGTGAGCCCCATGCGCCGTGGTGGTCAGTGGAGGCGTTCTCCCGCAGGTGGCGCAGACAGGCGTCATGGTGGGAAAAACGGCGTAGAGCAGGTTGGCCTTGGCACAACCTCAGGCAGAAGGGCCAACGCCTTGGCACCTCGTGGCATAGATTGCTCGGCGGCGTGGGTGGCAGTACGTAGTGGCCTGATGGCTGAGCCATAGAGGTGAGCCGTCACATAGCCGTCGCCATTCGACCACGGGTCCACCACTCCATGTCCACGACCAATCGACTGATGGACGCCCCGTTTAAAGCCTGAGAGGACAACACTATAGTCAAATGATCGCCAGTACTTTCACGCGCTCACGTGCTTTCGAGCACTCGAGCACCATCCCTGCTTTCCCGTCCTCAAGAGAGAGCCAATGCGGGCCTATGGCCTCATGCCTAAGCAGGGGCGCTGTCTCCCGCTGTCTCCTGTCTCCTACTTAAAGACTAAGCGACCTTGAACGTTCCGCGACACTCCTCGGTTGCCCTTTGGCAACAGGGGAATAGGAGCTCGGGCAGAACAACTCCCATCGAAGCCTGCGCCCCAATGCGATCGCAGATGGCCGTCTGCAAGGCAGCGCTCCTGGCAGCGCCATGTGGGCCATGGCGTGGCGTGACAGTTTCTGGCTTCGCCCTGGGGCACAAGAGGGGCGATATCCACCGGCAAGTCGACCTCAAAGGCTTGGCCATAGCTGCTCCGATGCATTCAGTAAGCTTGAGGTCGGTATTTGGGGCGGAGGTTCTCCCGTAGAGGAGGCTTTGCCTCGCCTTGACCTTTGGGAGGTTCAAGGATATGATGCATCAGGTCCAAGCAGCCAGGTGCACATTTAGGCAAGGGTGCCTTCCCTAGGGATCCAAGTACCTTCTCAGAAGGTACTTGGACCCTCAAAACCTACGTTACATTGGAGTGTCTCCAATCACCTTCTGAGAAGGTACTTGGATCGCTAGGGCTTCATCATCTCAGCCAGGCTGGTCTTCTTGACAAATTTTCTACCACGGCTAAAGCAGATCTGCTTTGCCGTTCCATGATCTGCTGCCTCAGCTGTTTCAGCATTGGGTGAGCCGGCATTTCCTTGCACACGCTGGCTTGTTTAGATGTCTGGCTTGCATGTAGAAGATGCTTAGCCAACCCCACAACTTCTGAGTATGTTTGGGCGCGAGGGATCAGGGGGGTCTGGGCCATATCAGCGCGAAACTGACACACCGCCACGGACGTATCCTGGTCCGGCTTTTGGCAAAATAGAACGAGATTGCAATGAAACATGTCTTGGCGCATTCTCTATCATTGCTGTCAGTGAGACCCAAGAGATCCAAACATGGAGGGTCATGTGGAGGCTAAAAACATTGCGGTGAGTTTGTCAACTCATGAGCCTTGCTGCACCGCACTGACTGAGATTTTACCTAAAGGCTGTCTAGCCCAAGCAACCCCACGAAGCCCTTCAGCCTAGGACTGGGTGTGTCGGTGTCAGGGCACGAATTAAAAGCCAAAGACGGATCTTGATCTCAATGGATTGGTCGCCGTTTTTTCAGCGCGACTCGAACACACGAGCAGTGGTGCAGCAGCTGCATCCAGTGTATCTGATGGATAGGTGCATCGGTGCATCTGCCGCCGTGCTCTTTGCAGTCGCACGCTGTTGTGCGGGAAAATGCCAGCACCGGGCAAGGTCAAATGCCCGAGGCTGGTGGTCTATAGCCTATAGCCTATACAAACGGTCTGAGTTGAGGCATGATGGTCTAAGTGGGTAAGCACTGCTCTGCCAAGATATGACTAGCCACAGTGGTTGAACAACCCTGTTGCCTAAAGGTCTTTTAGGCCCCTGGTGATATTGATTTGGTTGTATAGGATTGACCTATCGATTGGATACGACCTATAAGAACTTGAGGATCACGATAAAACCATATGGAACTTAGATCTGGCGCAGCAAAACCTGCTCTTTGCCTGGTCAAACACACTCAAACTGGAATCTTCTTCATGTTGCATCTTTGGATTGGATTGATGGATGTTGAGAGAGTCCCAGTCATCGCATGCAGGCCCAGTGGCAGAATCTCCTCATCGCCTTCCGTCATCTGACGAATCACGCGAATGCGAATAGGGCCTCGGGCCGATGAGACCTGGATTTCCAGTCTTTCCAACCAGAAATATGTCTTCAATGTGCTTCAATCTCAGCATTGAGTGGAGACGGATATCCATTGACCATCATTGACCATCGATCTTAAATCTTCGGGTCATTCTTCCGCGGTCATGTGAACGCTCGGGCGGTCATCGGTGCACCCAAGAAGCTCTGGGAAAGGTCAAAACCCGCTGCCATGTCCTCAAGGAGAAGGACCTCAAGCCAACAGAGGCCTGCAAACCAACATGAACACTGTTCAAACCATCACAAAAAGGCATTACCACTCTAGTTCTACGAGTACATACCACATGCAGTCTTCATGTTTAGTTGCACTGACACTCCTCCTTCATCAGCACTTGGCATCTACTGATTTCTTTGCGGGAGAAAAAAAAAGGCTATTCCCAAGAGTCTACCAGGTTTGCTGTTCTAGCTGTTTTGCTTTGAAAGAATCAAGCTCTTTGAAGAGCAGTCCCTTCACTTCCAACCTTCACCTTCACAGCTGAGGCTTCGCATTCTTAGCTCCTGTGGCTTATTTCATGTATCCTAGTTTCCTGCTTCGCTAGTTCCTTTATTCTACTGATTTCTACTGTAGTGCAGTTTGTCCTTCTCGGCTTGGTTCTTGGTTAGCTCTCGTCATGTCAGCGAAGAAGTATTCGGCAGTCCAACATCCAACCTTCCCCTTGTTGTAGATGCATTTGCTTTTGGAAAAGCATGGAAAAGCTGTTTTCAGTAGACTTTGGTAGGTGCAACTTGTTATACCTTCCTGCCGGCCAAATACCTGAAATACCTAGCTGTGGTAAGCCCTCCACCAACTCATAAGACTGGAGTGAACTCCAATATATTCATTGACGACCCCCACGTTTCACCCTGGCCTGCCGCTGCTCGTCACACACCTTCACCTCCATCTCTCGAAAGTCGTGGATGTGGATCCAGCCGCTGGCAATCCTTGACTAATTAATCCCGAGTACCTATTAATAAACACTCCCCAATTAAAAAAACACAACGTCCGAACGCCTAAATTCGGTTTATATTTGGTTTTAAATTGCCGCCCTATCAAACCGCTACTAAACTACCAACACGGTCGATTTTGGGGGTAGTTTTTTTAATTAGGTTCCCCAAAACTCCACGCCGCGCTTACACCAGCAGGCTTTCCTTCCCATAATGGCACGGACTCACGCAAACGCACTTGCCACCGAGGTCATGCAACACCGCATGGCACAGCGACATCACCTTTCGAAAGCTTTAGCTGTTATAGTCTACTGAAGAATCACTATTCTAATGAAGGTTTTTGTAGGGGAAAAGGAAGACCCCTTCGATCTGGAGGTTTTTTGCATTTTTGATACGAGTTTAATAAAGGATTTTATACAAATTTTTCCTGGATTACTTTTTGGTTTTGAAACTCTTTCCAGGTGACCCTATTTTGGAGCCCCCCGATTTCAGGGACCCCCTATTAGGGCTCCACTCATCCCAATGGGAAGGGCTTGTCTCACGGCTATGGCAATGTACTCGTTAAAGAAAGTGTGAGCAGGAGGTTGAAAGTGTTGTACTTCTATGTGCATAGAAGGCCATAAACAGGCTTGCTGTTTCTTTCTCTCTTCCCGAAGATTGGGGCCGCGAAAAAAGAAAAAACACTCAGCTTTCACAAGGCATCCCAAGCAGAAAGGACGCCGAGAGGCTCAGAGTCCACCGCATGCTGGAGTAGTTGGCCACCTGGCGAAGCGAAGGAGTTTCTCCACCCAGCTGGCCGAGCTGAACCGGTCTGTGGTGGACATCAGCGTCCCATCCCTTAATCCTTGGTCCACTTCCCCCGTATTGACTTAGAAAAAATGGGGGACCATTGATGACTGGATCTAACCACCTTGTGCACCATTCCCGCCCAGTCGGTGCAAAGCCATACAAACCAAAGGACCTTCAATCGAATGAGCTGGCACCTGCTTTTCGACCGCCAAAAGTTCAGCAGTGGGCGCTTTCCTCACCAACACCTCCCAGCATGTTTGTATTTGTTCCAAGGTTTGCTTATTGTTGATTGACTACTTTGGGGATTTCGCTTCTTCATCTTCAGGGCCGACAAGCGTCGCGTACCCAATTCAGAGCAACTAGATTTGTTGGAAGTGAGATTTACATTACACTACTGACCTACTGACACTACCAAGCACTACTACAGATCTTTGTCGTCAACTGCGCCCTTAAGAAAAAAGGTGGCCGCAATCACATGCACTAATGCACTGGTTCACAAGGACGCACTGATTTTTGTTCCACTGCTGACAGGGACCGGGCAGAAGAGAAAAGAACCGGGTCCACGCCCAAAAAAGCACAGCCAGCTGTTAGCCCAGAGGAACCCTCCCTGCCTTCGGCCTCCTTCAAAAGGGTGCGCAGGAGCTCGTGCCGTCGAAGCACCGAGCACAAAGCTCTTCTGAGACGATCCACGTCCAGGCGCTCCCCCCCGCAAGCGGTAGGCGAAGGGAATGGAATACCTTAGACCCCAGTACTGCCAGTGCCAGCACCATTTTGTGTCCTCCACAGTGGGTTCATAGTCATGGTTTGCATGTTGTCTGGGTCGAACATTCTGTAATTTCCACCAACTTTTGCAATTCGATAAAGGAGTCCTTGAAGAATTGCCAACCACTGGGCAGGAATGCTGCCAAAGAAACAGAAGATCTTGCTTGACAACTCACAGCCATAGCAGCATCAAGAGTACTCTCCTGGTATGTCAACACTGAGTTGGGCAAGATGCAGATTGCTGGCGTGCATCTGTTCCTCAAGGCACCAGTCCAAGAAAAGCAAGTCCATACCATTCATGTCTCACGAAAACATCAAAAAACATCAAAGAACCTAGCTGCGCATATGCAACTTGCCATCCTAAATGCAATTGGACAGGCAGCGACCACGTGGCACCCTGCCAGCGTTTCACACTGAGCTTCAGACCATGACCCAGAAGCGCTCTTGCTCGAAGGTGGCTGGAGCCTCACCTGACAGCTCCAAACATCCCATGCGGGTCGATTTCCCCTGGCTTTCAAGATGCATGTACCGATCCAAGAAATCATCACAAATAGCAACGTCTGGGAAGAACCACCATCTTTACTTTCCAAACAATGTGCTTTGGATTGCGTTGGCCCTTTCTTCAATTGTTTTCTGAGCTCTTCTCAACCACTTCACTTCACCTCTCCCTATGAACCATCCACTTCTCACTACCCTGCCTTCACCCACGGCTCCAACGGCCGAGGGCGGCTCCAACGGCCGCGCCGCGCACCGCAACCGCTGGGCGATCCTGGCAGCGTTCGAATGCAGAAGCATCTGGAGGTGCCACTTGTGGCACCTTTCTTGGAGCAACGTGTGTTTTTTGGGCATCCCAGGAACAAAAAACGTGTGTTGTTTTGTGATGTCTATGTTTTTTTTGTGTGTGTGTTTGCGATCCCAAGTCTTTGTTTGCATCTCTCTGCTGAAAGAAGTCCGTTTGGGTTTGGGGCCATCATGTTGGACGGAGCTCAAAGCCAGGTACACCGCACAGGCGTGTCCTGGCTGGAGTTCGAAGCTCGAAGATCTCTGGCCTCAATAAGGCCAGGGTCAGCGGGGTGTTCGGAAACTAAAAGGTTTGCTGAACGCACATTACCTTTATTCATAAGGCCAGGGTCAAAAATGCCTGGTGATTTCTCGACGAGGGGCAGAATTAGTGTAGACTTTCCAGATCCTAAGGGCTTCGGAGGAATCAGTCTGGCTTGCAAAGTTTTTGGGATTCCATCCTGAACTCGTTCACCAAAGCATGTGCAAGAGTTCCTGAAGACATTTGGATCCATCTCTGGACAACATATTAGCCACTGAGTGTGAAGGCTGCGTCAAAAGGATCATGGTTCATCATATTGTATGCTTTGCTTGTATCTCCTTCTTCGTAGACACAGCAACTCTGTCTACGTCCTTTCTGTTTCAGCTTTGAGCTGCTGATCACAGAATGTCCTTTCGACCGACCGACCTCTTCAAACGCGCATCCTGTCTTTCGGCTGATCACCAATGGAAAGCAGTTGAGACGCGCGTTGGTGAGTCCCTGTACACTCGTGGTGGTTCGTGTTCCAAAACATAGAAGCACATGTTTTGGAGGGTCGAGTGTCCAAAGTGTGCTGTCGTTTCCGCTCGTCGCTTCCGCATCTTGAAGAAGCCCGTTTTCAAGGGTTCCTTTTTGGGCTGTGTCTTTGAAGGAATTCAGGACTAAACACACAAACATGACGCACGCCAAAACCTTCTTGACCCCTCCATATCCTCAAGCATGTTGAACAATACCGGGTTACCAAGTCTCTGATGCCACCACACCCCACTTGCTTCCTTGCTCCTGAGGATGTTTCTGTAACAAGCTGGAAGAGACTCTGGGAAAGTTGTGGAAGTGTTGATGCACATGAGAAATATCATGAATGACATATCTGATATAAGTCAGTCTAACCCTGCGGATCTCAACACACTCCTACTCATCCTCCCACTCCTCAGAAAGACCAGGACCACTCCCCACAAGCCCCATGCCACCAAAACCCGTCCAGTCCGGCCGGTCTGTTTTGCCCCGGCGCAGTGTCACGCCGTTGCCGTCGGCACGAAGGAGGCGTCGCAGGCGGAGCGCGGCTAACGATTGACCGCCCAGCCTTGACGCAGCGCGACGGGGCGGCGAGGGCGGAGCAAGGTTCTCGAAGTGCGAAGAAGGTTTTTCGCGACGCGTATCAAGGAGAAGACACGACCGTCCAACGCGCGAGAAGATGACGCGTGCATTGCATTTTCAGGAGACCTGGATTCCCTGTGATGCCCTTGAGTTGGGGGTCTTCCAGAGGTTGGGTTAGGAATGGATTGGAAGAACAGGACTTAACAATTCCATGTTTGTTTCTCCTGGGACATGAGAGCTTGTTGCACAGGCGAGAAAAGGTTGGTTTTTTCTCGTGATGAACCATGCATGTCAGATTCAGTGAACACATCCTTGTTTCCCCAAAGATTCACTTCAGAACCACTTCCCAGTTGATCTAGATGCTTCAATTGTATCCAGACTTGAAGGGAAGGCCTTACATCCAGTTTCACTCTCCTCCAGGTCCGGACGGTCAGGGCGGGCAGACCTGTGCCCGTCACGGGGTTTCTCACGACTGTTTAACCCAAAGCCTCCCGATCACGCGACCGAGGGCTTAAGGGTTTGGTTGGTCATGAAGGACCACCGAACTCAAAAGGGGAGAAGATGTTCAGAAGGGAAATCAGTGAAAGAGGGCTTAAAGTGCTAGAAGATTTTACAGGCCAAGCATCCTTTTCATGTGACTATAGAGGGTTTTGACCGGTGAAACTGCTAGGCTGCTAGTCACAACCAAAGTGACTCGTCCGCCTCGAGAAATCTCGAGGCTAAGAAGTAGTTGTTTGTCCAAGAATGTTGACCAGTCGTGTTTTTCATGTGAGGTAGGGGCAGGGGTGTATGTGCCAGTTCGGACCCGGCGCAGAAAAAGGAATCAGTATACGAAACTCAAAACGAAACTCGGGGGTCTCGGACCCGGACGGAATCAGTACTAAACTCATTAGATGAGGGATCATGATCTTCAAGGAAGATAGGGATTTCGGTGTTGAAATGTCTTGGTCTTCTCGAAACACCAACGAATCCGGAGGTTCCCCAGCTCACACCCAGAAAACCGATCACATCCAGACACCCAGACACCCGATCTGAGACGCTCCTTTTGTCCTTTAAAGTCTCTTGTGGTACATCTCAAGCCGTCCCATGTGTTGAATCTCATGAATCATGCTTCTTCTCTGGGAGAAACATTGAAAATTAACAGTTAAAGTCTTAAGTTAGTAGTCCCATGGCTTCTTTATCTCGAACAAACCATCCTAGCAAACCTCGCATAAAGCTCCGCGCTTTCTCCGCGCCGCGCGGCTCGAAGAAGTCATCGCTCGGTGCCACGTCCACGCCCAGGACCTGCCGAAACGCCTCCAGCGTCGCTGCGAGCGCCGCCTCCGGTGGAAGGAACTCAGCGGCGGCAGTTCGGCAGGGTTCGGCCGCTGAAAACGTCCAGCGGCGGCTGTTGCACGTTGAAGGGCGTCTGTTTGGCATGGTTCTTGGGGCCGGCGAAACGCCGCGACGACTGCACGAATCGAAAACCCCTTGAGACCTTGGACGTTTCGCGACTCGACCGACCCCGCCTGGCTTTCTGGAAGGCTCTCACTCAAGTCCATGGATTCCAGTTGATGGCGGTCCACCTTTCCACTGGAGGTCAAGGGCAAAGCCGCCAAAGGGACAATCACATCAGGGATCATCCAGCTGGGCAAACGCTCTTCCAAACTCCCTCGAAGCGACTCCAGGTCCACCTGCTTGCGGCGTCTTTGTCCGGAATGGTCAGACCAGGGGAAGGGCTGGAGCAACAAGGGCTGGACGGTGTGAAGGTCGCAGGACTCACAGGACCCAACGTGGTGGAGATGTACATGAAAATTGACGGATCAACATGTGGATCAACATGATGGATGAATGATGATTAGTCAACTTTGCTGTTTTTGCAGATTCCACTTTTTTTGAGTTGAGGATCTCCATGAATCTCTGTGTTGCTTCAACCAAAACTCTTGAATGTCAACTTTAACAAATCACACTGCACATGGTCACCCCTTCAGAACTTCGCACTAAATCCACCACGGATTCACCATGCAAAATCCCGGAGGAAAGCATTCAATACATTATCTGTCCTTTAAATTCACCCTCAGTCCCAATCCCAGTCTGGTGCTGTATATCCCACTCCATCCCGCCTCCATCGGCGTGACGAAGGCCACGAGGCTCCGCTCCCCGTGCCGTCCCGTCGCGCGCACGAGCACCGCGGCGGAGACCGCGGACCCGTCGAGCGTCAGGGCGTGGTGGACCTCATCCAACTCGATGCGGTGCCCGTGGATCTTCACCTGGCGCTTTAAAGGAACCACGGTTCATGTTTGTTGGCCATCACATCCCAGTCAAATCCCAGGTCAAATGGGGTGAAACGAACCAACGGACTTCGGACTTGAAGAAAGGGGGCAAGTGCCAAAGGAGAAGATGGGAGCTGGTCGAGGATGAAGCGATGCATGGCAATGCTATGCTGGTGATGTGACTTTGTTGAGATTCAGTGGATCGTCTCTGGGACAAACACAATCCACTTGATGAATCACAATAGGATCGAGATGCTGTCAATGGGCTTAGGGACAAAAGCTCACCCACCGAAACTGGAAGAGTTCTCCTGGGATATTCCTCTCAATCCCACAGGTATTTTATGGGTTTGTCCACTACACGGCAAATCATCCCACCTGGTTGTCAGCACGCCCCAGAAACTCCAGGACCAGCTCAGATCCGGCCAAGTTCTCCTGTCAATTGGGGTTGAGTGTAGTGAAATCTCACATGACTGGTCTGAACCTTTTGAGGATTATTAAAGAATCTTTAAAACAGGGAAACATAATCATACCTTTACCCACTCGAACACCGAAAGACCCAAAAGCATCCAAAGCCCAAGCTGAAACATAGCTTTGATGAGGAAGCTGTAAGCTTCACACGCACCCACTTCTTCCCACTTCTTCGTCCTTGAGCTCATTCCACGGATCTTCCACTGTGACACGCACCACATCGCCGGTCCAATAGCCCCGGTGCGCTTCCCTGCTCGAAGCGCCCGCGCCCGTCACGAAGAAGCGCTCCGCCGTGCGCGCCGCGTCGCCCACGTAGCCCCGCGCCACGCCGAGGCCGGTGATGCAGAGCGCACCCGGCAGACCCAGTGGTGTGAGGGCAGAGCCCGGAGAACCCAGCTCGGTGCCCGCGCCCGGACTGAGGGCAGACCCAGCGGCGCCAGTGTGAACCCAATACCTGGGAGAGAGGGCCGTGAACAGTCGTTGGAGCCCCAAAGAAAGGCTGTTCTTGGAAGGTTGAAGACTTGGCAAAAGCATGTGCTGTAGGCAAAAGCATCGAAGTGGGAGTTCTTAGATCTTACCAGCACCACCCAAAGAGTGAATTTATAACCCCCCTTGGCCATGTAATTTCCATCCACTAACTACCCTTTGAGTGGTCATGGTAGTAACAAACTAGAGAGCTTGAATCACGGTTGAACCAGAAGGGCAGCGATGCAGATGATGGCACCAAAAGTGGCCGACGCGGCTCTTCGGATGCATGGACGTGTGGTGCTCACATGCCGATTCATGGCATTGAACCGGAAATCCGCCGAACCAGCGGTTTTCGCGTTCAGCGGACAGGAGTGGTCTCTAAAAAACCGCAACTGAACATCCAGTTCACCAAGTGACTGATGATTCCAAATCGGCCTGCCATAGGGCACGGACCTCCAGCATGGATGGATCTTGGCCACTTCGAAGCTATTCGACCAGACCGTGGCTTCGGTGGCACCGCCCAGCGCCACCACGCGGGCCGCGGGAAAGCAACGGCGCAAAGTGGCCACCTCGGAGACCAGGGGAGGCAGGGAAGGGAGGGTTGAGAGCCAGATCTCGAAGAAGTTCAGCAACTAAAACTCCACCAGGACATCAAAAAGACTGCGGGAACTTCAAAAATCAGACCGGAAGTTCTGTTTGATTCTCAACTCAGCTCTGGGGGTCCGACCAGTCGCAATGGCACCCAATCGCCGCTGAGGAAGATCGTGCGGAGTGGACATCGCGAAGAAACAGCTGGCCTGACTGGGCGAGGAAACGGCTGACCTGCCGAATGTAGCTCGAAGCTGAGTGACCTCTATTTTGGACCATCCACCACCCAAAATATGGCCTTTGCCTATCAAAGCAGAGGTGAAATGGGTTCTCGGTGTGACGATACATGACGATACAAACCATTTACTTGCAAGCTGCTCGCGGGTGGGTGAGGTTTCTGAAGGGCCAAGGGTTGAAACCCGGTGCTGCTCCAAGTGAGTATTGGTCATGGATGGTCATGGAATCCGCTCACGTAGCTTTGTCTCAAACAGGGAGAACCCCATTCATCTCATTCCTTGGGTTGGTTATGATTGTTTGTCGATGTTGCCCTCCAGTGGGATTAGGGCTGATCAGGGAGATCTCCTTACTGGCGGACAAAGTCTGTAGGCTGTTGCAAGCTGTGTTTACATACGAGGGACGGTCGAAAATTCATTGATTCTGCGGCTGTTGCATCTGCAGATCGGTGAATTTCCCTAAACATTCGCTTTGCCAGCTGTATCATTTGCATGCCCGCGTATGAATGTAACACTCTGATGCAGTCATCATTGCAAATTTGGAAGGGGAAGCAAATCATGCCATGAGCCCTGGTTGTCAAGAATGGGAGGACCAAGCAAACTCGTCTCTACCAACTCGTCCCTCCCAAAAACCTGCAAACTGGTGTGACGTGTCATGTCGCATCGTGGCCATGTGCCATGTGGCAGTTGTGGCTCCAGCAGCTCCAGCACCGCCGGCGCCGAGTCCCAGAAGGTGGTTTCTTCCAGCAACGCGAGCCGTGTGGACGTGGAGCTCGACACGAGCAGCCTCAGAGCATTAAAAAGAAAAGACGACGGGATAACGAGGGGTGTCACACCGGAAGAAGTGACCAGAAGCTCCAGGGGGTTGCAAACCAACCGAGGAAAAGCGACCTCACTGTCACTCACTCTCATCCAGCTCAGCTCATGTGGACGCCGAGGAGCCGAGCGCCCGCGGCCAAGGTGCCGAAGATGTCATAGCACGAGAGGTCAAAACCCATCGAGGTCACAAAAAGCAGCACGTCCGCCTCGTTGATCTCATAGCTCGTATTCACCCATTCCTGATCACGTGGGCCGCACGGGCCCGTACGGTTGCCACATTGTGGGTTCCTGAGAACGAGAATCTAACGATCAACACCGGGCGAACCGGGCAACCGGTCCCATGTGGTTGCCTTCACATGGTTCCCTTCACCTCCTTGACGCTGGCCCTTCGACCCGGAGGCTCGGAGGTGTTGGTCGACCCGACGTGCTTCGTTCCCCCCATGGTTCCCCACTGTCCGTTTCCCTCGGTCCGAAAGCGAATTCAGCTCCCAACCCCCACACCTCACCGGGCGGCAATCAAATGGACGATGGATCTATGGCTCACCGCCACGCCTTTGGGACGGCCCGTGGATCCCGAGGTGAAGATCACCTCGCCCAGCGCGCTCCGATCGGGGGAGAGAGAGGGAGAGAGTTCGACCAAAGAAGCAAGTCGTGCCCTCCACTTCGGCACTTTCTATTGTTGCAAGACTGCCATCTGGATTTACGATAGGATAGGATAGGATACACTAAGATACTATAATTATAATTAGGCTTGTTGATGTCCTTTGTAAGCAGGTTTGCATCAAGTTGCATCCATCCCTTGTCCATCACTTTTCCATCACTAGCATCACGCCTTTGCTTCAGCACATGCGAAGCAAGCATACCGATCTTCTAGCAAAGCATCTTCGACTTTGACCGTCACCGAGGTCCCACTCGTCGATTGAGAGGCTCTCATACGCGACATACGTGGGTCCAAGCGACATACGCGAGCTGCAGTGTGACGTCGTCATCTCCAGAACTGGCCGTTTTCGGTGTGAGGATTCGGAGAAAAAGAAAGAAAGTGCTCACATCCCAATTTTGCTCACGTGACCAACTCATGACTCATGTCATCTAACAAGAGAGTTTGGGACTCACGTGAGCCAGGATCAAACCGCCCCTGCAGCTCGTGAACAAAAAACGAAGATCACCGTCCGTGGGGTCAAAACTACCTTAGTTCATTGACCGACGTGTGGTGCTTCGCTACATGGAAGGTCTACCTCACATCGCCCCACCGCCTCTCTAAAGCGCCACGTTCAGGGAGCTGAAGATGTTCCGGCACGGTCAACGCCTCCGCGCAGCAAAGGTCGCAGATCGCAGAAGCCCATGAGGCGTTATGGTGAATCCTGGAAAATCGTCTTCATGGTCTCTGTGCGGGTGGGGAGAGAATACAGCAAGCCTTCTCAAAAGATAATGTAGACCTCAGGCGTCTCAATTTCCTCCAAGATGTTTGGCAGCTTGGCAATTGGGTCTATAGAAGCGAGTACAACCCTGTGGTGCCCATCACCACTGAAGAAAAACAGAAATGTGGCTCAGTTGCCTGTGAATTGTTCCTTCATGTAGGTGATTCTTCCTCGTTCATCCCCTTTCTACCACAAGCAAGCAGGGGCCAGCAAGAAGTGCATGCCGGATGGGTCTCGGGATTTGGATCGCACCAAGACTTACAGAATCCAGGATGCAAAGGCTTCCACTACCTCCAGTACCAGGTGGATCGACCCCCTGGAAGAAAGGAAACAGACCTCCCAACCCATTGCCGCCTTGAAGCCTGAGGCCAGTGTTTCTAAGGGCAACATCAAGCCCGACCAACCTGCGCTCACGATCCACTCACGATGCGCTGAAAGAATTTGAATGTTCTTTGCACCAGGAATATGTAGAACATGCCGAATTCGTTGGTGAGAAGCAACACACTGAGATTGGGTATATGCTTCCACGCAAAACAATAATTAGTAATTCATATATAATATATATATAAATAATCTACGGTCCCAAGGTCTTTGCGGCTTACACCATAGCCAATGTTTGAAATGATCTCTATTGGCCCCCGGTGTTCCAAAGTTCTGATGTAGCACTCCCATCAGCTCCCCACCCCGTGAGGCAGTCGACAGGATTCCGGCAGATTTCCCAGTCGGCGCCCTCTTTGGGAGGTGTGAAACTACTTCTGCAGCTCGTCACCCGGCTTGTTGACCCCAGAGCAACCTCGTGAACCCGCCTTCATCGTGAAGCTTCTGCTCCTTTCGGCGTACAGAATTCAGTCTCACTGTCTTTCGGCGTTTGGTACGAGCCGAGAATTTTGAGGCGATGCCCGGCTCGGCTCTGTTCACGATCCCGACATCGTTGCGACCTGATGCCAACTCTGAATACTCTGAACTGCTTCTTGATCAGATAAATATGGAATCCTGAATCCATCACTCCAAAATCAGCATCCTACGTTGGCCCTGCCAATCTACTACTGACATGGCCAAACATTGCCCTGATGTGGCTTATGGAACGAGAGGAGCACAAGCCCCAGTTCTCCTCCAAAAGGGCACACTTCTCTGCAGTGGAAACCAGCAAGCCAGCACCAGCAATCGTAAGCATCTGAAGCACCTCAGAGACGCCATGGGGCTGATCGGGATCCAACTCACGAACCTCCAGCTCCCCCCCAGGCTCCACTGCTGGCTCGCCAGCAACAAAGCTTTTGAGGTTAAGCAAAAGATGAGCCACCCACCTGCAAGGTCCACGGGAAATCCAAGTGGATCACCCCCAAGTCCAGATCCTCTACCAGAAACGATGCAGTTTCCTACGAACCGTTACAATCCATGAATTACAAGCCATAGCCATAGGTTCTGGCATTCTAATTATGTCGCTGGAGTGTACCAGGTTGTGTGGAGTCAACTTCATGGGAAAGCTGGCTTTGGGCCCCAACTTCTTCCTGTTCCTTCAAGCTGCTCTCATGGGTGGCAGCGTCTCATCACAGGGCAAATAGCCGTGTCCAGCCTGGATGGTGCAGCCAAGGCTTCCCCTCCTGAAAATCAACATCCAAGTAGAAGCATAAGAGGTTGGTGTTGCTGTGTCAAAATGAAGCCCCAAAAATCTCTGAATATCTCTGACTTTCTCCAAGAACCAGTTCCTTTCCCCTTTTTGCTGCGTGATCCTACGATCCCACCGCAGCCATCGGAGGGATGGCACGGATGGCCCCCAAATCCGCCTCCATGGCCGCCAAAGCCAAGGCGATGGCCTCGGCGCCCCGCCGCAGCCAAAAGGCCACCGGACCGGCGCCTGAACGGGCCGAAGCGGCCGAACGACCGGGGCCGCCCAAGCCGATGCGCGAAGGACCGGAGCCCGGATGGGGCCTGGTCTCACAGACTCGAACTCACGGGTTGCTCCTGGCCCAAACGTGGCCCCCCGTGGCCAACGAAAGGATGCAGAAAAAGATGTGGTAGAACCTGGGAGAAATTCTTAAGCTACCACCATCTACCACCAATCAGAATTTTGGCTTGTGGCCCTTTGCTTCCCTACCTGGTGGCTCTACAGTTCTCAAACACCCAGTGGTACGAGTAGACTGACGCAGGCTCAGCCTAGGCCACCTTTCGCGTGGAGCTCCCGCAGCGATTTTGCGAGGCTCGTCATCTTGGCCAGCAGCAGCTCATAGCTGGTGACCTCGCAAAGCTGAGCAGAGAGCTCGTTCCAGCGCGTTCCGGTATCTCTTCCATGGCTGTCGGTCGGGTCGGGTCGTTTCTTTTGGCCAAAAGACGGCACGAAGTGAAAACAGGATCGTTCCTCTGTGTGCATGGATGTCCAACCGCCTCCGGAAGCCAACCCCGTGCCCCGCGCGGAGCCACGCGGAGCCACGGAAGCCAGGGCGCGAGTTTCTCACCGTTGCGCTCCTCTTCGATGGCCACGTGTCCCTGGCGCCAGTGGATGTTAATAGAAAAAGGCCATGACAAGCTCTGTAAGGAGCCGTTGCTGTCCACTACTTATAGCAGTTTGATTGACCTGCTGCCCCAATTTCAGGCCGTGGGAGCACGCACGTCGCGCGGATGAAGTGATGCCTGAAATCGGCCATGCCAAGGTTTCAGGACACAAATAGATCGAGAGATGTGGCGGATTCGATGCGCCACTCCACAGAATCACCAACTGTCGTTCCCATGTCCAGTCGTCGTTGATCCTTTTGTCGTGGTTCAGAGGTGCAGACCCCCAGGCACTTGGGCCAGAGGCCAGAGGTAAGTCCAACTCCATATCCCCTGACCATCCCACATCTTCCCAAGTTTGCTCCATCACCACCTCGCCACATCTTCCCATGTTCCCCCAAGCATTCGCGGTGCTAACCCACCTCAGGGAGAGTGGCTGCACGTGCTCGGATCACCTCCTGTAGAAGCTTCCTGGGAGGCAGGTTACGGCCCTAAGGTCCCGGCAAACGTCCCCAAAATGATCAACATCCAACATCCAAAATACCTAGGGACCAACTCAGACCCTTGAACCGGTTGGGCACTAAAAAGCTGAAAAAAGATCATCGATGGTCTACCGGTTGGAAGGCAAACTCAGAAGGCGCGAGTCGCAAGCTGTTCCAGTCAAGTTGCCCTTCACCTCAGCCGTGTTCAGGAAACAGGCCAGGAGATGCTGCGGGGTGAAACCAGGATAAACCAGGGCTATTGGGCTATGTTTGGCTGACTAGGAGGCAATGGAAAAGAGAAGTGACTGGTTCACCATCACAATCCAGGAACCCATAAACGGGTTGGTCCTTTCATTCCACAAAACCTCGGACCGTTGCTTGGTGAAGTGAAAAGGGCCCAACCAGCCTCCCTAAACCCCACATTCTTCGGCCCCCCCTGAGGTGCCAAACATTTCCAGCAGGTTGAATGGACCCTGGCAGCCCTGGCCGCCACGACAAATTTGGATGGAACCTCTCAAGGATGCCATGGAGAAATTCCTAGGTGTTGGTCATTTCTATCTTCACCCAAGTCCTTGACTTGAAAGATCTTCAAAGAAGGGCTTAAACGGAGACGTTTGGAGCCAAATCCTTCCATCTCCCGTCCAGATTCGACCCAAGGGGCCGTTGAAGGGATGTCCGGTGTCGTTGAAGTCTCGGAGAGCTTCTCGGTGTGGCGCGGGGAGCAAATCCAGCGAACACAGGGGCTGCTGGAGCGCTCCTGGCCGGTCCACCGGTGGCCCATGTCGTGTTTTATGGTTTTTTTTGTTTGGGGCGGTGGCGATGGTGAAGGGGTCAGTGACCGTACTGGGGTGACGATGTGCACCTCCAAACATTCAAGACAGGAAGTCTTTGCCTTCGCAAGCCGCCATGGGGGATTTGGAAGATGGGAACATTTGAAGGCTGGTGCGACACGTGAGGAAAGGGGGAGGCTTGTTGAAGCATCAAGGAATATAGGTCTGGGTCAAAATCCCCAAACTTTGATGGACCGGGATGTCAACCTACCAGAGTCTAGGATCTGCTGTGGGTGCAGGAGTAGTAGTAGGAGTAGGAAGTAGGAGGTAGGAGGTAGGAATAGGTAGAAGGTAGTGGTAGTGCTTCACTCCCAAAAGATCTGAGAACCCTGAACCCTTCTCAGACGATTTTAGACGATCAAATGCGTGAGAACGAGCTACGCCGCTACCCTTGGTCTGTCAGGAGACATCAAAAGAAGGTCGTCCCAATTCGACGTGCCTAGCGTTGAAAGGAGGGAAGTGGAGTTCAACCATGGAAGTTTGTTCGGACAGCTGCCTTCCGAACTCGGTGCAATGTTCCACGTAACCATGTTTGTTGGTGTTTGTTGGTAGACCTAGACCTAGCGGCAGATATTCAGGCCTTCCTGGCCCGAACCTGGCCTTCAGCATCTTCTAACAGGCCCTGAAGTGCATGAGCAAAGACCCAAACCTGGCTCGATCAGATTGATCTGACGATCGGACCAGCTCTCCAGTCTGAAGAAACCACTGGCCTTGCGGATCTGCTTTCAGTCTTGCTATATATAGTAAATATATATATATATATGATTCACCTTGCTCTCCTGATCCCAGCAAGCTTCGCGCCTTTTTG